CTTTATAAGTTACACTCTGGTGTTCAATTGAAAATATTTTTAATTCATACTGTTTCTTAATTAAGAATTTTCTGAAGACGATAGGATCATTTAAAAACAACTTTATAAGTTACACTCTTAAGAAAGACTCTTGACATGTTTCAACACTTATGAAGAATTAGGACAATTTGATAATTATTGTTTATGTCTAAATTCCTATTAAGGAATAAAAAAAAACAAGTTGTGAAATGTCACAGTGTGAATGGCTTGTATGGGAAGGACAGGAATGGTAGGTGGTATTTACAAACAAGGGTCAACCTCTGCTTGTTTACTAACCACCTCCTAATCTAACATTTACAATGATTCGGCCACACCGTCTGTGCTAGTCAACATATAGATACAACTCATACATGTAACCAAATATTCTAAACATAATGTCTCTAACACTTAGTCAATATCATAACCAAATATTCCAAACGCAATGTCTCCAAAACAGATAAACACGCTGACATTGTTGGTCGTCTATCTGATGTTGTGTCTTGGTGGACAATTTCATCCACTAGAGAAACATGTCATGATTGCATAATTCTTAATAACTCTTTCCCTGATAAAATAATTACATATCAATTGGTGTTGGTATTTATATGTACAATGTTTTATAGCTGTGTATCTCTCCCAGAAATTATTTTTTGATTAATTTAATTTTATTATGTAAATGTGGACAGTACAATCTTTATATACACATGTTCTGCACATGATCAACAAGCTATAGCAACCATCAGCTGTTTGTTGGCAGAATATTGAACCAAGATAGCTTTTCTCAGGGAATTACATGTAAATCCAAACAATGTTGTAGAGTTGGATCAGTTTATGGTTCATTCAATTGTGCATGTTTTATCTTTGTAATTATGATTCACCATGACAGAAAGATTAATTCTTTGTCGTAAGCTGATAATCTTCATAGGATTGGCTGATCATAAAAATAACATGAGCTGAATTTAATTAAAGTGAAGAACTTTTTTTTTTTTTTTTCAGATTTTCTACCTCTATACTTCATATAGTAGCACCTTTAAAATGTAAATGCTTAGGTTTTTTTTCGTTGCAGGTTTGTATACTCAGACAAGAATATCAGAGATGCTTATTCTAATTCTACACACTTAATAAAATTATAATCTAACATACACTAATTGTACTTTGTCAACATGTGTTCTGACTGGTTTCAAAGGGCTTATTTTATTAACAATTACATATTAATGAGGTTTACTTATTCAAAACATTTTTGTTATCGTGTATAAAAAAGGGTGGAGTGTAACACAATGTAAACTACAGAATGAGTTTTACATAATACTGGATAATTTATGTTAATATATATCTTTCGTGTACCAGTTTCCTAATGATGCTTCAACTCCAGGTAAACAGAATACAATATATAAGACAGAAGAAAACTGTTTATAACAGCTCCAAAGAATGCAGTTGATATAATTTACTATAAAAGGTCATGAAAGCCTAGAAATCTGAGCATCCAGACAATGTGATTATTTGAGAGAGAGAGAGAGAGAGAGAGAGAGATGGGTTATAATGTCCACCCACACAAATTAGGTCATTTTGGGACTAACACATGGTTTAGTTTTATTTTAACAATTCACTTGCACGTAGGGGTCTTTAGCAGTGGGAGGAAACCAGAGGACCCGGAGAAAACCCACGAGGTTGGACAGGCGACCCTACTCCTTGCCACACGTGCAACTGGTGAATCGAAACCACGCCGGTTGACTCAATGACAGATCTTATGAACAGCACTATTCGCCATCCAACCCCCCTGTGATTATTTGTTGTCCATATGTTTGTTCCATAGGTTCCTGCATTTACAATTAGATTTTTTCACAATGACTATATTGTGTGAGACATACTTCTCCGAAACCATGTTCTTTTACAAAGAAACACTTCTTGACTTATGTGTGATGGGTCGAAGCAGTACACAACGATTTTAAAAAATATGAAAAGATTGGAGGCGACCTCATCTTATAAAGGCTCATAATAACAGATCTTAAGTGTATGAATAATGTTCTTAATATATCAGTAATTAAGAGGGAGATAGTCTTAAGTAGTCCAAAACATGGTTACTTTAGTGAGTATTAAAGATCTATTTACCGACATACCTGAATACTGTCATTATGAGGCAAATGTATCACACCTGTTTGACAAACAACGTTGCCCAAATTATCCACTTCACATGAGCAATAGTTGGGTAAATTGTAAGCTGACATTTTGAGTTTTTTCATCTAGTTTAAGCGAAAGTTGAAGCTGTGGAATTATGTTTACTTTTACTTAAAAGATGCTGTGTTAATCCAACATTTAAAACAGAAACTGGTACAGTACATGAAGACCAACTACGGTTAAATGAGCCAACATATTTTTTTTTATTCTATGAGATGTGCAAGTAACTTGAAGCACCACTTGACATAAATACATCTGAATTAGATTTGAAGGGGCATATAAGCTTCAAAAAAGAATTAAATGCAATAAATTTAATATATACTATTTAATTTATTATTTAAAATAATTCTTGAATAAATTATTAATTAATGATTGAAAACCCAAGTATTACGCCCTGCTAAGTATAAAGGATTTTTTCTGTAGAACCTGTTGAAAACCACTGAAGGCTATATGTATAATTATAAAACATCTATCTCAGTTACGTCTCAAATTTGCATATAATATATTATGGACATCTCATGCATGTCAGTGTATTGCCAAATCACGACAAACTGAAAAATATTGACTGACAGGCAAACATTTTGTATGTGCCATACTCCTCGCAGTGTTTCATTTGATTAGACCTGATCTACAGTAGTAATTTATTACAAATTGCATATAATGGATTCATGTGGCACTATATATAAATTAGCATATTTCTAAATCTTTAGTGAAAATACTGTGAATTTAGGTGATTTACGTGTTTAGAACTAATAAAATGCATACAATAGTTTCTAAATAAATACTAATGAGACAGATTTTGCTTGCTTTTTCTAGAATGCAAAAATAGAGAGAACTTCAAGTCTAATTGAGATCCAAACATTGGTAGTTTTACAGCATTTTTAAAAAATCCAAGTGTTTGTTATAACTCAACAAGGCGTCGGCCGAAAAAACAACTACAAACATTCTTTGGCATCATACTAATCCATTTGTAGTACAGGTCAGTAAAATGTGTCTCCTGTGATTCATTATGTAAAGATTGCTAATTACAGATATGTATGGTATCATACAAACAACAGACATGGTATCATACAAACATTTATTTCCACTTTAAACAAAAGTTATATCATCACAATAAAATTTTCATTTAGACTATGGCAAATACAAGAAATTGTTCTGGCATGTTTATTTACCATACTAACCTTAGGCTACCTGTCTACAAAAAGCTCTGCTTGAGAACAGACACTTAGCTAGTTGACCAACATTTTAAGTATTAAATCACTGATTTTAGTCGAAAACACTAAGTATACTTCGAGAATTTTGAGAAGTATTTATTCTGCTTCTATTTAATGGAAATAAATAGGTTTGTTTAGCCTATGTGTGTATGCCAGTTGTGAAATGTAGTAGAACCGCATTTCAAAACAATATACTAATTTTTGTTTATGGCAGCCGTTCAGGACAGAGATTAATTCTCGAAGTAGATGGATCTCTGTGTGCAGAATGTTGTATTTACATGTACATTGTTAACCCTTTAATACCATTCTTTACTTCAACTATTTAATCATAAAACTCCAATCATTATTTCGGAAGGCTCTACTAAAGGTCAATGATATTTGCTCATGCAGGTTTCTATTTGAAGACAAACTATTTGCAATTCTCGTCCGATTAGATTTAAACAATTGTTAATCCTATTCTATCAAACCTCTTAGAGATGCTCACTATTTAAGAGTCTGTGTAAATTTGTTTGGGATGGTTTTCACATCTCATTTAAATCCCAAACAATTAAAACAAATCAACAAGCAGCATCTTTGATAGATTAAGTGAGCTTGTGAATTGCATTTGAGATTAACATTATTATCTTAATGTACATTGTCACATTTTGTTAAGTGTGACTTAAATAAAGTTTTCTTCTGATATATTATAAGCTACCAGGTCTACTGCATATTTCATCTTGGGAGCAAAACCCCTGCTTAAATTCTAATTCCCAATGAAAATGTATATATTTTGCTCAGTTGACGCCTCATGGAAAGTTACCTAAGGAACCAAGTATTTATCATTCTATGGTCAATAAAAGTTTGGTTCCCTAGATGCCTCTGTCAAAAACTAAAACCCTGAAGCTTTTTATCCACCCAAGCCTGATACAGTATGCACTCTAGTCAAAAGTTTAGTACCCCCCAACCACCATTAATAACATGAAGATAGAGAAATGGGGTTTAACGTCAACTCGACACAAACTAGGCCATTTCGGGACTAACATATAGTTCAATTGTATTTCAATAATTCACTTGCGCTTAGGAGTCTTTAGAAAGGGAGGAAACTGGAGAAAACCCATGAGGTTGGATAGGCAGCCCTACTACTTGTCACGTACAACCGGGGAATCGAAACCACACCAGTTGACTCTATGACAGACCTTATGATTCAACGCGCATGCGCTAACCATTTATTTAGCCATCGAACCCCCAACATGAAGATAGAATTTTGCTACAAAAGTGAGCCTTTTCTTTATAGCAACTGCTGATTGTCATCAGTTCCGTGGATAACTGTTTATAAATAGCATCACCGAGTAGCATATCAATTCTGGAGTTCAGCTGGTCTTTAAATTGATTACATATACATTAAAGGATCAATTGTTAGATTGTTAGATGTACAGGAAATCTTAAAGCAAACCTGACAGCTTCAATATTTACCATACATTAAAATTTCCCTAGTTAATAAACATTTCACATTGAAATCAGAATATTTTTTTGTATTGACCAACCACGTACGGGCAGACATAAACATGGTAGATCTATCTTAAAGTAAGTGGGTGTTTTGAATAAATTACTCACCATTAACATCTAATCCACCATAAGCTATTTGTAATCTATGTTTACCGCCTTCGTTAGGTCTATATGTAACTTTGTGCTCTCCTGTTCTATTTTCCTGTATATCAAATGGAACTGATCTACCTGATGGACTGGTTATCTGAATATGCTGCTCTGCTTTTCCAGCTCTTGATCCATCCACTGAAATTTGAAAAAGTTCATCCATATAATTTTGTACAAATAGTTTTTAAAAGCATGTATTAATTACAGTGTCCATGTGGAATTGATAAACAGAACACAATTAACCTATGACTATACATGTATGAGCGACAACATAGTATCTAGTTTAAAAAACCCCTTAGGTTTTTAACTGTATTATTTGAGAAGGGAGGTAACTCCATAAAGCATAAATTTACACCTGTCAGATAATTCATTAATGAAACAACTTTCTTTAAATTTAATAGGAGAGTTTAATAGAAAACCTACAATAACATTGTTAAATGATATTATTTTTTCTTGTCAGAACAAAACTGGTCAATCCTAGAAAGACTTCTTTCAAGCCAAACAAACTAATTACATTATATATATGTATAATTACACACCTTGGGATGTTATTTCCTTTGATCTCCCATGATATGAAACGTATCAACCTGTTGTGACATCATCAGAGGGTGATATATCACCAATATCAGATATCACCCTCTGATGAAGTCACAACAGGTTTACGGACAGCTCAATGAAAAAGGACAAATTCTTGCTTTAACATTTTATTTACTTATTGTACAATGTTACCAAACGATTTGAACGAAGAACTTTACCAGGCCCATCTGACCATCGAGAACTTGTCTGAAACTCAAATTCTGGATTGTGTAGTATATCCACATCAGTTTTATTCCCAATCCGTAAATGAAAACCTATTCCCATAACTAAATACGGAATTTGGTGGGTAATATTCATCATTTTAGTCACTCGAAACTGAAAAGCGTTATCATTTGTATCTCACAATCCGAAATATCTGAGTACATTAAATCATCGTTAAATATTTTCTGCATAAATTCTGCACTTTGACTAGTTTTAAAAAATTCTTTGTCAGAATCTACATTTTCTTTTTCAACCATATTTTCCACAAACTGACTTGCGTGGATCAGTTCATCATCTGAATCGCTTGACAACGTGTAATGTACGTGCAACTTTCGACTTGTTTTCTAAATTTTAGCATATCAGTCGCAGGGCCGATATGGGCTAAACCATTATCTTATAGGTGAAATCAATTAGGATAGATTTAACATTGATGTTGGTGTGTAAGACAAATATTACCCTAATACCCTCGGTCGATATGTGAAATAACCCATGGCCTCCGGCCTTGGGTTATTTCACATATCAACCCTCGGTTAGGGTAATATTTATCTCATAAAGAATCAACCTGTGTTTCAGAGTATGAAGATTACAAAAGGCAATGATAGAAATGAATTCAGTTGTAAATACCTGTAAAACCTGCTGGTTCATTGACATTGCCATTGAAGAAGTTATCAACTCTGACCTTGGTAATGTCAAATACTTCAATATAAAATGGACTTCCTTGAATCTGTTGACCAGCAAAAGAAACATCCACTGTATGTCGTCCTGTGTGAAAAATTGACATAGTTCAGAACTAAAAATCAGGAATCTCAGATTTTCATGTGAAGGCAGGAATATATTTGCTTGCTTTTCATGCTATTTCCATCTAAATTTAGATTGAATTCTTTCCATCCAAAATTTTACTATAGCCATTCAAGTAATTATTAGTTCCCTTGCTTTCGACATTGTAAGCCTCCTTTTGTATGGCTGAGTGAATTTCATTAGTGGTGCTTTCTATGAGTAAAACACTTGTAATTTCAATTTAAAAAAAGGAGTAATGTCTGGGAAAGTCTGAAAATAATATTATCTAATACCAAATTTTGGGCAAATACTGTTCATTTGTTTCTAGTTTTACCGCATCAGGATTCTTACCTGCAACATTTGGTGTCCATTCAACTTTAAAATCTCCATTTGGTTGTGGTGCCAGGCGGGCAGGAACTTGATCTCCATTGGGTGCTAAATAAGGAGGAAAATGTATATTGATAATCTCAAATTATTTGGTGTTTAGACCAAATTCTTTCTCAAATGTTCTTTTGGTTAATTACATATTAACATAAATATATTTCTTAGAGTTTAAGGCACAACATTAAGATATGAGGAAAGGATATGAAAGGGTAATTAAAACAAAATGCTACTTTAAAGCCTATGATGGCAAAGACAAATTGCAAGCTTCATTACAAAAAGACCTTAAGGTAGGCCTACCACAAAAATCTCACATTGAAGGTTACAAAATTTAATCTATAAAATAATTGTACCTACAATGATTATAAATACATACAATTCTATACACTATACAAGGCTTACATAAAAACATTTAACATGTAGACCTACTTTAAATTTATGCAGCACTATACATAATAAAATATAGACATATAATATTAACCAGCTCTGTCAAAAGGTGTCAGATCTTGTTTTTCAATAATTACAAGGAGTATTTATGTTTGTGTTTGAAAGAATAGTTAAATGCTGTATGTAAACATAAAATCAATCAATTATAAAGGTCAAAATTATTGTCCAATTTGCTTTTGTTTCTTCTGATGTAAAATATAATTATCCAGGCATTTATATTCTTGTTATATTACCCTTTCAACAGAGCTGGTCACAATTTTTGCTGCTGCATCAAAACTACCTACTCGACTACGCTATTAACATTTCATAAGCTCTGTATTTGATTTACTAATTTACTTACCATAGTTGTCCACCACCTTGGCAAAAACATACACATGACAAATTTGTGATGAAGTAATCGCCATAATATAATATTTGAAAGACAGAAAAGAGTCAAGAATTTCCAAAACCAAATTCCCATTCAAATTATCATACAAAGAATTTTAAAAGCATTTTCAATGGATAAATAACAATAAGATATATAATTTAAAGCACATTTTGCAATCAGTATTTATGAAATATATTGCCAATTATACAAATTTTGCAATCTCTAGTCATGAAATATTTTGCATATAATAAAAGTTTCTGTAACCATTCCATCCAAAGCCCTGCTTTATCATGCATATATATACTGATTGTGCTGTCTGTTAAACCTTGAATCTGTATTTGTAGTAAGCTCATATCAATTTGTTTGCCATTCATATGCAACATGAAATGATGATTCTTCTCGTGTACATTGAGAGCTTCAACACTTCGAAAACTGATAGTGATGAAAGTCGGTATTTCTTCTTCCACATTGATAACCACTGGACATCCTTGAAAACACAATAATATTAAATAATATTCAGAAATTTAAAATACATAAATTTTTATAAAAGTTCATGCTCATGGATCCATATATAATTATAGGAATATTTTACTACTGTTTTATACTTTATTCTTCATTAGGGGGGTTGGATGGCCGAATGGTTAGCACGCACATGCTGTATCATACGGTCTGTCATTGAGTCAACTGGCAGGGTTTCGTTTCCCCGGTTGTACGTGGCAAGGCGTAGGGTTGCCTGTAAAACCTCGTGGGTTTTCTCCGGGTCCTCCGGTTTCCTTCCACTGCTAAAGACCCCTACGTGCAAGCGAATTATTGAAATAAAATTGAACCATGTGTTAAACCCCATTTCTCTCTCTCTTTATTCTTCATTAACTAAAACTGACATATCGGTATGTGAAATGAACCAAAATTATTTTTGTTTAATTCAGATTGCATTTTATGCTGAAGACATTCAATATTTCTTTGCCATTTTCAATGCTGCACTTGAGAACAACTTTGCAAGAAGGCTGATGAAACGATCTATCTCAATTAACAAACAAGTTATAAACATAAATATAAATCAGTCAAATTACAACAACTCAGAAACCTTTAATAGACTTGGAATAATCACCATCCTTGTTCCTCAACAAAGCAGGGTATTATTCTAAAAGTAAAATTGTTATTTGTTATTCATTCATTCTTTGGATTATGTACCTGGAATAGCTTCATCATTGAATTTAGCGTTAACTTCATAATGTCCTGATTCTCCTGGTATAAATGTATATCTATATCGTCCTTCATCTATTGATTCTCTGTATGTCTGTACTCTATGACCATTATGAGAAACAACAGCATCTAATTCACCAACACCAGCCATTGTAGCATCAACTGTAAAGAAAGATTTCATGGTAAGTCTTGTGCAATTTATTCCAAGCATTTCTATCTGAAGCTATCAGTTTATTGAGACATTATTTCATTATTTATGCATTTCAGAGCATATTAAACAGTAAACAGAAATGCTTTTCCCCACAACACTGCTTCCCAATTTTTCCAAATATGTTTTAAAATTTTCTTGGATAAAAATCAATATCCTGGTCAAAAGCAATTTTCTTAGAAAATCATGGTAAAGTTTTAAATGCTTATGACACAACTCATCTTATTAATTTTTATATATTATATCAATATTCTGCGTATCAAAATATTTGGTGCAATATAGCCCAATTGGAGCTGGCGTGTCATAAAACAACGTTTTATTCCTTGTTTCAAAATACGATCTTGACAATTATAGATGGAATGATATAGGTCTGGTTACCTGTGAAACCGATTTCTCTTTCTCTCTTTCCAGTTCGATCCACATCAGTGATGCGGACAAGACTTGGATCAAATGCATGACTGATGAAAGGACTGCCATGAAGTTTATTACCAGCAAAGAAAACATCAATAAAATGTGAACCAACTTCCATTGGTGTAAATTCAGCTCGACAGATATGACCTTTTCTACTTAATTTACAAGGTAGTTCATGTCCTGATGGGCCTGCAAGTTAAATCATACATATATATAAAATATCAATAATGTTACTTTTCATACTCCTGACATTCTTTTTTTATTCAAACGTCCATCGACTTGAAATGTTCCACTACAGGGGATTTTGCATGAGGAACAAGATCCCATCCGGGCCCCCAAAAAAGCAATATTTACCGGTATATGTGTGTGTGAGGAGGGTCCCTCCCAGTGCTGCCGGGTAATTGGGCTGTGTGGAACATGCTAGAGTCGATTTGCAGCATATCTGATCCACGGTATATGTTTGACACTGTTTATGCATTATGATTATAATTTTAATGTTGAAAACCGCATTAAAATTGCGTGATTTTTTGCCACTTAGCCCCTGTTCCAGCAAGTCAACATATTATTAAACTCATTTGTCATTCTGTAATTATGTTCTTTGAACTTGGCTGCCCTTCTTTTTATCAAGGGTACTATATTTTATTCTAATGTACAATTCTATAATTTTAAGCATAAGCATAAGGTATACAATAAACATTTAGACTATACACTTATGTACTTTCATGTCTACTACTGTGATTAATTCACATGTGTTTGTGATGTGTATCAGATCATTATTTCACAATCAAAGATGTACATTACTAAAACACCAGTTTAATGTAATTGCAGGTAAAGGTGTTAACACTCAATATACAAGGACACCTTCCTGATGGTGAATCAAATTGAATACACATTTTGTCAGAGAAGAAAAGTGTAAATTTCAGACAGACTTAATTTATATAGCTAACAATTCATACTGTACATAATTTAATGTTCATAACCTCGTTGGGATATAGATATTAAATCATAAGGTCTAAACATTTGTTTCTTATTGCAAGAATCCACCGGGAGTCTACAGTCAACAATCCTTTGAATTAGTTTGAATCCATAAATGATTTATTCATAAAGAGCCAGATGTAAAGTTTTAATATTGATTTATTGAAATAACAAGAGACTGTCCATAGTATTGTGGTCTAATCTTATCAGTTCTATTACAGTAGAGTTTTGCCAAGCAACCGATCAAGAGGGCATTTAAACTGAGGGGCCCAATGGAAAACTGATCAATGTATCCATGTTCAGTTGATAAATTTGTGATAGAGGAAAATGCGACATGTAATCAATATGATAGGATTACTTACTAACAATCTGTACATCTAGATCTGTATCATCCATACCATGTAGATCTAGATTAAACCATGTTTCACGATAAACCTGTGCTGTTCTTAAACCTTGTCCACTCATAGTAACACTACTAGTATCAATTACATCAACATGGAATGGTGAACCTGTAATACAAATTAACACTTTATATGTGATGGCACATTATTATACTATAATTTAAGATGGGGTCCGTAAATCTTGGAAGATCTCTTGTAGTAGTAAATTCCACCTCCATCAAATTTTTGAGAAACTTCTACTTCTGTCTCAAAAGGGCCAGATGCACATTTGGCCTACTGCTAAATAACATAATTTTATATAAAATTATATAAAATTTGAATAGGAGTTCTGCATGTCCAAATAGTTGAATGACTATAGTCATAGTTGCAAAAAGTGAGTTTGACCATATATCTTCATGCAACAAAGAAATAGGATTGCCTGCCTAAGTTTTTTTTCTACAGATTCCCTGGTTTCCTCCAATTTCTAAAGGTTAAGAGCCCTGCCCACATATCATTTAAAGAAATAAAGATTCCCGGCCCTTTTAGTGTATTTGAGGTCTCAATTCATTATCTTTTAGTAATCATTCAGAGGATTGTAAGGAAAATATTCAATGATAGGCAGAGATGAAGGTCAGAGGGGGAGACAGACCCAGGCATCAAATCAAAAAGTGAAATTAAATTAAATTTTTGGAAATAGGGTAGTTATTAAATACATCTTACGAGGTCGCGGCCCCAGCGGGTAGTTATTAAACAAAGCTTACCAGGTATAGGGTAGTTATTAAATAAAGCAGTAACTACATGAGTTGACATATCCTGTGGTGTAAAACTTAGTTCATATCTTCCTACACCTACTTCACGGAACTGACTTGCAACTGTTGTACCATGACTTTTGATTTCTGCTGCCAGTTCTCCTTGTCCTGCAGCGGATGCATCCACTGGAATTCACATTAATTAAGTGGTAAAAATGTTCACACATGAACTATGCAGCTATGAGAATCCTTGGTATTAAAATCTTCAATAGGATGTTCAGGATAATGTAAGCATAATGCAGTGTCTCAAATTCTACTTTGATTTGCACCAGAAATTGCCAAACCAGTGAAATGTTACTTGAATTACATAAGACTGAAGTTTGATGGCAAAACAATCTCAGGCAAATGCATCAGACTGCAAAAGTTCCAACTTACCATGAAAGTAAATAGGTCTGCCTAAATAAGCTCTGTTGGGATATTCCACTTTGACTAGAGAAGGATCATAAACATTTGATGTAAAAGGACTTCCGTTAACTTCTACTCCACCATATTCAACATAAACTTTATATCGTCCAATCTCCTGGGGTGTATAATCCACTTTATATGTAGCCAGTGATGAGCCAGTGATTCTTGAAGGTATTTCATGACCAGTTGCGGCTGAAAATATAAAGTACGGTCTTAGAAACTTGTATCCATGATTTCATACATTTACGCACAACATTTAATGAATGATGGATCTTTATTTTGTAAAACTTAGAACAGATTCAACCTCTACACTTTTACTGAAATAGTATCATAACACCAAATTAAGAAATGGAATAAAATGGGGTTTAACATCCTACTGTTCTGCACCGACTGGGCTAATGAAGATGGGCATAAGCAATACAGTGTGCTATGAGGGAAATTTGGCTCTATGGCCCGCTCTTGTTTTGAATTCCAAATGTCCAGGACATCATTTTTTGGTTCCATTCAAACGACTAGATACTGCCCTTGCCAGGCCCCCTGTCCTGCACCACTGACAAGTGGAAACTACGCTGGAAAATCCTGAGGAACTTTCTGGGCCAACACTGTGATCAACCCACAGACTTACTGGTTAGTGAGCCAGCACCTTACTCACTGAGCCACTGTGGCTTCCCCCTAATTAGGTTACTTCAAAATACATAGTTTGACATTTCTACAATGTCATAAAAAACTGAGCTAAAATGAGGCATGCATCTATTTTAAATTATGGTTGAAAGAAAAAGGGTGTTTAGGACCCTACATACTTACAGATAACCTTGACTTCTAGTTCACCCTCTCCAGCATCTTGAGGGTCAACTTTAAAACTAGCTAGAACACCTGCTGGAATCTGTTTAACAGAATCACTGCTGACTTGTACTCGGTCACTGTCTAATATACGACAGTGAAATGGACTACCTAGAATGATGTCAATCAGATTATGTTTTCATTGTTAAATGACAATATATAAGAATATTGGGTAACAAGTTTGGTTATGTTTGATTACGACTTGTTGCCCTTGAACCACATTTTCAAAACTGTGATTGAACCCTGTATCACTCAAAGTAATTTCTGTCGTTTTGAAATATTTTGAATTCTCACATTTTTCAAAGAGTTATTGTAAAATAAAAGCAATTTATAATACCTGGCACAGGTTCTCCATTAAATCTGATATTAACCAGATGAGTCTTGGCTTTTTGTGGAGTGAAGGAAACTTTGAAGGACATGTCACCATCTTGACGAACATAGTTAGGAACGCTATCATGATCAGCTGTGACTTGTATTTCTAGATTACCATCTCCCGCTTCACTGGCATCCACTAAAATAAGGAAATATATACTACAACTTTAAACCAAATAATTTACTTGTCCACCAATATTCTTTAGTAAGTGGGGAGCACAAAAACAAGGGGGATCTTGAGGCAATACATCAATGTGATTGAAATCAAAACATTTGCCTCAATAAAAATCAGCATTTTATATGTTTTTGTCTGCTTCCATCCAATGATCAGTAGTAATTTGTATTCCTAGATTACCATCTTTTTCTTAATTGGCATCCACTAAAAAAACGACACATGTAGTACAGATTTAAATTAGAGAACACCCATGAGGTTATACGGGCACTATCAAAACACCAACACTTGCCTCAACGGCATACCTTATGATCTAAAATGTTAGGCCACTTGGCCACAAACATCTTTCCCAGAAATGTGAAAATTAATTGATTCAGAGTTAAAAGTTTGGTGCTGTTTTGAGTTTTATGCCAATGAAAATATCCATCTACCGGGTAATTCTCATGAAGGTTTCAAATAATGTTTAAAGCTATAGAATTTCATATTTTCTAAGAAAGACAAAACATAATTATTTCTATGTCTTTTGCTAAAATAGGTTGTCAACTCACTATTATATGATCATAGTTATCATTCTCACACTGAAAAATGTTTCACACCGGAAATAATAACACAATTACCTCCTAATTACCTCCCTTGTTTTTCTATTCCCTAACATGGAAAAGCTATCTTCAAACGTTTGAATTTGAAGTTGAAAATGATATTTTTGCCAATTTCTCAACTGGCAATAGTGAATTATAGGGTTATTCTTTATCAAGGTAGGACTGTTTATACATAGCATCGATTTTAAGGCTTTATTTTAATACATTTTAAAAATATAACTTAAAAATATGAAATTGTAGCTTTAAGTAATAAATAATTCACAGGACTTACATGTAAAAGGAACTGGTCTTCCCAGAAATGCTTGTCCAATATGAGAAACTTTAACATTGGAAGCATCAAAAGCTTTAACTGTAAATGGACTACCACTGATTGGCATATCAGCATATTCTACAATAACACGATGATCACCTGCCAAATAATAAACACAAACAAAATTGACAAAATCCATGACAAACATGCATTCTTTTATTTGTTAATCCATTTTTCTATGATTTAGAATTGTTTCTCAATGTCTTTGACATACAGGCAATAAAGTCTATCTTTCTAAGCTCTGAACAGTAAGTGGGAATTCGGAATACGATTGGCTAAAAAGAGTGATTTGACCTATTTCTACAGCAATACCGATTATTATAATAATTGTATTGAAACTCACCTATCTCATGAGGTGTCCATTCAACATCAAAAGTATCATTATTCTTCTGTCTTATTTTGGCTAAACTTTCTCTTCCATCAGGTGCTAAAAAAAGAGAATGTATTTGGATTTTTTTATAATCAATGGATGTCACTGTTAACACTGATCAAAATAAAATTTTCAATCAGTCGGGATAAAGTGTGTTATGAAAAATTGTTTGGCAGTATATTTTACTCCAGTAAATTACAATGAAACACAATATAATGTTTATAGTATCTCAAGAGAATAGCTGAATCAAATACACCCTAGCATGCATGACAGTTTTATTGTAGCAGAAATACAAGTAAATAAATGTTTTTAAACAACTTACCTATTTATAGTAGTGTAATTATCACCATGGCCAGAAAGTATATATATAAGAAGCAACAAAAGAAAACATGATCGCAAACATGCAGTATCTAACTAATTGTGCAATGGGCATGCAAAAATTAATTTTCTTCCTCACAGAAATTCATAATTCTGTTTCCTGACACCCTTTTGTTTACAGTAGCAAACCTCTTTCATTTAGATCAAAAAAGGGTACAAAATTTGATTGAACTAATGCTTAATTTTGTCTAGTGATGTAGAAATCTGAATTCAACTAAATTTTCAAATCACAAGATGGAGAGAAAGTGAGTTTGTTTACTTATATAAATTTTGCATTTTTAAAAAAAAACAAACACAAAACTGGCTATTTCTAAATCTAAAGTTTTAAATGTAGATATATATTCACTTTTCAAAACAGATTAAATGAACAATTTTTTTACCAAATCAAAGAGGTCATGCTATCTTAAGGGTTAGATTATATTACTGATATGGTTCAAGTAACAATTTGTATTTCCTGCGTAATCCAAACATATTGTCCAGACTTGCAGTCAACTGTTTGGTAATACAGCATCACACAAACCTTTCATGCAATTTCTTATTAATTATCACTTGGTGGTATTCAACTTGTATGAATGAAATTCTCCAGTAAAACAATCCTTTCAAATGTTAGCATGCTTTTTCTTAATACAAATAAACCCAACAAAATTATAAAAAGCTTTATTCATGGAGAGGCTACATATACAGTTTTTAAGATGATATAACTTTAAATATATTCACTTGCTATCATCCAACCCTACCTTGTACACGGACAGACAGGTCTGGCATAGCAGCACCAGGTGCATGGACAGAGAAATGAGCTGGTCGGTGACAGGATACCAAACTAAGGCCATCTCCATGAGCTGTAATTCTACTGGCATCAAGAAAGTCAATTTCAAATGGACAACCTGCAAAATAGTTTTTTGTCAATCTCTTCCTTTGAATATTCCGAATTTGGTGCAATTTTATCCAACAATAATATAGTTATACTATGCCATAGAGTGAAATCTGTATCCCTAGAGGCCTGGGACTGTACAGCACAGTGGACACTTACGGCCAACCCCCAGATCCATTCACTTGATCCGATATGTGTGTTTGTTGTTTGTGGTGTCTGTATATTGTGTCCCATCTGTAGGTTTGTCTTACGTATTTGTTTGTGTGTGGTGCAGTCCCCCTGCAATTACTAATAGAGTAATCCTTAGATTATTCTTTCCAAACTAGGATGATCATAGCATGTAATACTTGAAATAAATGAAATATAATTATGAAACTCACCTGGGACTGGGAGGCCATTGTAAGTTATGTTAGCTTGATGTTTAGTAGCTTGACGACCAACAAAAGATACTTCATATCTTCCACCACCTAGAGCTCTAGCTTGATTTGGTATGTTACGTCCATTAGCACTAACTGTTAACTCTAGTGTTCCTTCTCCAGCAGATGAGGCATCAACTATTAAAGACAATAAAACTCTAGATATTGGTTCCAGGGAATAAAAACAAGTTCTGCAGGGGGTATTTTCATTCAGACTGGGACTGGTGTATGCATCAAAAATCCATTCAAATAATATAATGTGTTAAATGTAACAATGAACTTCTAGAGCATCTGAATTTCTCGAGTAACTGAATTCTTATGACTATAATATGTGCATTTACAGTATCATATTACATTTTGTAAAATATATAGTAACAGGAACACACAAAAATCATAACAAAACACGATCAAATTCAGTAAGATTATTCTAAATGCAAGTGATTCTCTGCATTGATTATATCATATTTTCCTCAAGGACAGCTGTCTAGTCCTTCGTATGAGACGAAAAACCGAGGTCCCGTGTATACATTAGAATGCACGTAAAAGATCCCTTGGCAGTTGGAATTCGATATAAGAGTAGGCGATAGTGCCGCTGCCCAGGCAAAATTTCCCTCATAGCACACTGTATGGCATATGCCCGTCTTCATTAGCCCAGTATAGGAGCAGAACAGTAGGATGTTAAACCCCATTTCATTTCATTTCATTTCATATCATATTTTCCAGAAAACATATATATATGACTATATATTATGCTACTTACCTATAAATTTACAAGGTGTTCCAACTATCCCTTGTGGCATCTGAGATACTTTAACTTGTGTTGGATCAAATGATTTCACACGGAATGGACTTCCTTTTATTTGTATGCCTGCTAAACTAGCTGTTACAACATAAGTTCCTAAAATTACAAAGACAGCACAATAAATTTACTCACTTGCACAACATCATGCATACTTATTGTAAATTGTACATAAAACTTAAAAAGGGGTGGGGAGGGCACAATAATAAATTTCATTTAGTCCTTCTTGTTCTGCAATCTGATTAAAACACAAATTTGATTTTGTTTTATTCCTTTAGTTTAAATTTCATTTTATAGATCTTAATGACAGTAGGATCTGGAAGGATATTTAAATCAACCACATTTACCTTAAAATAAGAGTTTATTCAATGAAATTGTCTCTATAGTCAATAAATAACTTAAATAAATCCCTGAGTGACCTCAAAATTATAAAAGACACACCCAAACTTAGATATGTATCTCAATCAGATTGTCTGACTTTTGACGTTATCATTTAAAGTAAGAAGACCAATCTTAACCAAAAAGTTCTTTCAGTAAGAACCGATTTCTTGCTAGCTCAAATATGGCACCAGGCCTGACAAGGGGCCTTTGGTATATACAAAATAAAGTAAAAGCCAACAAAATGTAGTATCATTAGGTATTATATAATGTTAATTAAAAGATGACATCTATGGTAAATGTATTTCAGAAATTATAAATGTTCTCACCAATATCTCTTGGCACATATTCAACTCTAAATCCAGTAGATGCATTGCCTGTGATATGTACAGGTACTTTCTGTCCTGTAGGAGCTAATAGTAAAGAAAGGTAATATATAATAACCAAACTAAACAAATTAATTACGTCACTTGAAAAATTTATAACTAAAACCATTCTGTTCAGTAACTTTCCCATTTTGGCACACATATTTAATATGTAATAAAGTATAACACATATCTTGTAGAAAACGGCTACTAATATATATTCAAGTGAGGTTTCAAAGAGTATTGTCATAATGTTATCCAGGTAATACCAGATAATTCTGAGAGAATACTCTTCAAAATGTCATCTAAATATACTGTTTTCCATAAGAATGGGTTATAATTTATTACTCTATCCAGTTACTAAGTGCCTCTAAAATATTAATATTTAATATAGGTTATGTTCTGAAAAAGCTATACAGCTATAAAATATGAAAATAAAAGATAGCTAACCTTCACGTTTACAGCTATAACCACCATGCAATATTGCTAAGCTCCTCATCCACATATCAACCTTACAGTTTCATTTTATAATAACCATTTTTTTTTAACATATTCAAAAAATAACTATAACCAAGTTCATGCAAGTACAGTACATGCAAATTATAATATATTGTAAGTTTTACTTTCAATAGCTTCAGGGCCCTTATTCACGAAAACTTAAACTAAGATACAATCGAAATTTTAAGAAATACTGCAATTCGATTGGCTGACCAGTAAAATCAATTTGCATATATCCAATGAAGTTGCAGAATTTCTTAAAATTTCGGTTCTAACTTAGTTTAAGTTTTCGTGAATAAGGGCCCTGGTCTTATTTATTGTTACTATTATTAGATGTTAAAATCAATCATCTCTTTTGTGTTAATCATGTCTTCAAAATTTTTAAAACCTCAGATAATCAAACATTCTTATAGCAGATTTTGGAATGAAAATTAGAATCCTTTGAAATCATATGCAAACAAAAATAAACGAAACTAAAAAGGGTTTGGAGAAAATAATCAGAAATTTGAAAAGGACCAAAACAACTTTGTACAAAAAAATTACAATCCAGTGCAATTCTTATATGAAAGTGTAAGTTGCTCAAAGATGACAAAATGTGAGAAAAACTGAATCAAAGATTTTTTTAGTACATAGCCGTTTTTGTTTGTGTATTTATGTATGCCATATTCATGGATATACATTTTTACAAGAAACAAAAAACAAACAACAACCCACCTATAACAGATTTATTCCAACATATTACAATAAAGTAAACATATTATTACACATGGTTGACTCTGATTCATAATAAGTACACAATATTCAGTTATAAACATAATACCATGTTCACAATTCAACATAATACCATGTTTATCATAATGAAACTTGCAATATGATCTTACACCAAGAAATATCTGTTAAAAGTAATATTGAATTGAGTTGTTTGAATTTGTGTATAATAAACTTACAATATACTTCCACTGTACAGTAAACTTGATTTGCATTATCTGTTTCTGTTTTAATATCAAACACTGCTTGATGGTTGACTATTTCTGTTGGTTTCATAGATACAATAGCCGAACTCAGATCAGTTGCATTACATGTGAGAGGTGAACCTTGAAAACAAATATACATGTAGGCCTATATATTACCAGATAAGGATATTAAACTCTGCCTTCCAAGTCCAACCTTTTGAGATTATACAACCCCTTGCAATGCCACACCATAGCTGTGATCTACAGCAGTGTTTCCCAACCTAGGGTAAAAACATTTGGGAGGTCTACAAAGTCAAAGGGGCTTGCAAGCAGGGCGTGGGGGGAAAAGGTGATCAACAACCTGTAATCTACAGCAATGTTTCCCAACCAGGGGTAAAAACATTTGAGAGGTCTATGAAGTCAAAGAGGCTTGCAAACAGGGCATGGGGAAATGTTGATTCGGGTAATAAAGATAGCCAAGAAAATTTCAGTATTAAATTGTTGGTATTCAGACAATGAATTTTAGTAGCCAACACAAGTCAACTTAAAGTTATGAGACAGTGAAATTGCCTTTTACTTTTATCAGCAAATAATATGTAGTTACTGAAGAAGTTAGAGACCTACACCTTTGCCTCAATAATAATAAATAACAACTTACAAGGTAACTGTTCTTCGTTGAAACTGATATCAATGTTTTGTTTTCCAGGTTCAACAGGTACAAATGTTATTTTATATACACCATCTTCTTGTACTTCAACTTCATTGGGTAAATTACCATTATTAACCATTATCTGTAACTGTCCTTCTCCTGCATACTGTACATCAACTACAACACATAAATATACAAAATTTATTATGTAAAATAACATAATTACAAAAGTAACAATGTCACATTATTATCTGTTAAATGTGTTTTATATACATCATATTAGAGGTAATCAGATACACATACATACTAGACATTTGACTACAATCAAAAAGAATGGATAAAGGAACAAATGGTCTAGTACATTTTCATCTATGCCAGTCCATCAAAAAGGAATTTGGAAGACACTCCATATTTGTCAATTTTATTTAAACAAATTAGAATTTAAGGGAACTGTTTTTCATCTATTTAGTAAACTTAGGCTACCACAAGTAATTATAAGCGGCTACACAGGTCAGAATGGCAGATGGACAAAGGTGAATGCCATCTGACCTGTCTTCAGTGTCTTCAGTGATGACATCAAGACACATTTATTAATAAATAGTTTCTGTTGATTCATTATTATATTAATTCCACATCTAGCAATATCAAGCACTATACATTAAGCCTTGATTTATCAAGCCTGTGTCACTGCTGGTGCAAGACTGCACATAGCAGTGGACGGTTATGGCCAGCACTCAGTGACGGATCATGAGGTCGGCGGGTGCCAAGGCAGCGTACCTGCTGTTCCCCAATACTGTTCCCGGGTGGGAAGTCATATACTTAGTTCTAAGCAGTTAGTGTCGATCTAGATTAGTAATCTGAATGAAGTTGTTGCAGATCATATTTCCAAATAGTGCAGAGTGTGTTTCGTCAGGAACATACTCAGAGAATTGATTTGCGATTCTTTTGTCAAGCAAGCTGGTTGAGTGAGTATAGGGGTCCAGCGGAAATTTTGGAAAATTAACAAGACCGCTACCTGTCAACCAGAAATAATAATTCAGGTTTCGGGTTATGGAAACATTTCTGATATAAACTGCCCGCTGCAAACCCACCCAACCCATCCTCCTGGGGTCCCCCTACCTAATAATTTCAAAACTCATTGAAAAAAGGCCACTTTGTTTCACGATTTTCGGGAAATGGGTCTTTATTATTTATTTCTACTAAATATAAAAAAAGTTGGTCACAGAATTGTCGAGCCCCTCTGGGGACCGGGCCGAGGCATTTGCCTCTGTTGCCCTCGCCATGATACGTTATTGCCAGCCCCAAGATCTTTTCATTTGATATGATAGTGTTTTTATGTCTTACAATGTCCATGTATTTTTATCTTGTGTTTATCTTCTAGGTTTCTATATTATGTACACAGTACATATATAATATAGACCTTGTAAATGTAATCATTTTTTAAGACATTATTGTGGCTGTCCATAATAAGTACAGGAAAACCACTCCACATATGAAAATTATTTAGAAACCTATATATATATATACTTACGGTAGAAGTCAATGGGTTTATAAACATAGCCATCTGAAGGAGGTGTAACAGTTATAGCTGATGTATCATAGGCCTTGGCTAAAAATGGACTTCCATTTACTTCATTTTCACCACAGGTAACTCTAATCTCATAATCACCTGAATAAAACAAAATAAACCAACTGAATTCACCGAAACAAATAATTTAAACAAACAGAATTCACTTGAAACATAAGGGATCTAGCTATCTCACATTATTTGATATTTGGATATAAAATGAATTCACGTTAACAGAATAATCTTTTCCACAACTTTACTATTCCTCTGGGAAAAATAGAACATTCAATTGTCCCCATGTTTATGGATTTCTAGTTTGATGTGTTGCTCCCCAGCACTATTAAAGGGCATGTATATAATATACATAATAACGAGTTATGGTTTGAACCATAATTTAAACCTCTAGCTTCATATGTTTTTACGTTTTAAAATGTCCAAGCACTAGCCACGGCACTTTCTGTGACAATTTACAGTTAGTATTAAATTTTAAGACGATGCTTACCAACTTCACTTGGTGTATAATCTACTTTAATTTCCTCAGAAGATCGTGAAATATTCGATGGTAAGGTTTGACCGGAAGGAGCTAAAAATAATAAACATCTCTAACATTAATATACACGAGATTAAACAACGACTGTTCAAAACAAATTAATATTACTTTTCATAGAAACATTAATACAATATATTAAGAAAAGATTTTGTGATGAGACATCAAAGAGTAAGTGACACAGCATTTATAAAACAATGTGAGAACTGTACAAAGAAACTTGTATGTTTGTTAATATAATCCTAAGGGCTGTATCCATTACATTTACTTTAGCTAAAATCATGTTTTGTTGAATTATTTAATATTAAAAGCCAAACAAAATGAAATACATAAAATATAATTACTGATTGATGAATATCTTAATTCTAAACAATAATATTTACAAATTAACATCTTTAAATTTAAAATCTTTATAGTCCGACTTTAGCTAAAGTTTGAACAATGCATACAGCACGAAGTGTAACAACATTTACTAATATTTTGGTCACACATTTAACAAATTTGTAGTATCTGTGAGTATTTGTTTTTATCTATGTTAGGTGTAATATGTGACAATACATGGTGCTCTGGAAGACAGAGTATTCTGGTTAATATATAAAAATTTAAATATCTGGAAACAACTACAAGAAAACAATTGCATGTATAGTCAAACTAAACTACAAAATGTCTGAACAAAATTTAGTTTGATCTAAAGAATAAACTTATTTTGAATCTGTAAAATGTTAATTTGAAAATGGTTTCAAAGAAAAAGAAAGTTTATAAGCTAAAGCAGTGGTCACATCTATCATGTAGTATCAAATGCTTGAGGTAATATTATATTCCTTACCTAAAAATAATTCAACAAAAAACTTCAAAAATTACAAACACAAATAACTATTAAAATCCACGAACTCAACAAAACATGAACACCCAAACACTCTCACAAAATGTCTATATTGTATGAAATAACCTCTCTGAAATATATTTTAAATCATAAATGGCAAGGGCTTATTAATCAAACAGGTATAATATCGACGATGGGGGTAATTTATATATCCCCAGCCCCATATACCTTTAACAGTAACAATGACATCATCTAAAGGAGTTCCTTCACTGTATATTTTAAATTTAGCTTTGTGATTTACAGGAATCAGTTCTAAGCCATGCCCTACGGCAGAAATTTGCTGTGGATCCAACACGCTTAATCTCCATGGACTTCCTGAAACAACAAAATATAAGCATTTAAAAGCAAGTTTACAGTTGTTCACACATTTTCTGAATCTACAGAATTACAATAAATCTAAGTGATAGGCAATTAAGGTTTGTCATGCAACTGATATTTTCATGTCAACACGATTGTCACTGATTTGGGATTGGAGAGAATTCCATTCTAAACCATCAATAAAGTATTGTCAATTGTAAGTTACCTGTTCGTCACAGGAAAAAAAGCATTTAGGTTTGATCTAGTTTAATGAGAAATTAAAAAAATAAATTTCGGCCTTTGAGTTGGTTGTTTAAGAAACTAAACTAAAGAAATCTTCCTACATGTAAACTAACCTTCCACGGGGGTATTATTAAAAGTCATCTCTACATAATGCTCTATAGGTGCTTCTGGTATAAACGATGCCACAAATTGATGACCTCCCTTATTTTCTACACTACACGCTACTCGTCCTTCATTTACCCGTATTTCAATGTTTCCTGAACCAGCCAGGGATGCATCAACTATAAACAAAATAGACATTTATAAATATTTGAATGAAATATAGAACTAACTTTTCCCACTTATCACTGGGAGGTTCACATTGGGATTAAACTTTTGACACTTTGTGGACAATTAATTTTTTTCCTGTTTTCATTAAGTTGTTGTTTCATTAAGCTGTTGTAAAACATGTAACTTAAGCTCTTTGTATTGTTTCTCTTAAAGGCAATCTCCAACTTTTCAGCTCAGGTGTGCTATTACCTTGTTTTAACTTGCATATTACCTCCCTTGAGAAGTTCTTGCTCAGTAGCATTTATAATGTTACAGATTTTATATCATGATCATGCTGCATTAATCAATTCTACCTTGCATTATTCCAACACTACCAAATTTCATAAGAGTAAACCAGAGTAAAGGATCAGGAAGAGGATTGATATGCACAGTCTGGGGATCCAGCTAGACGGGCAGAGATGTGTACCTCTCCCTATGATTTTAGCATCGTATTGTTCTCTTGATGTTATCAAAGACCCCCCAAAAAAATATAAAACTTACTATCAAATAATACAAGATTTCCTGGTAATACTCGTTTCGGCATATTTCTAACAACAAGTTTACCTAAATCGTAAACTTTACATGTAAAAGGTGATCCCCGTAATGGCTGATCATAAAAAAATACTGTTATCTTGTGATCTCCTGAAACATTAGAGATAAAGTTATTTATGATAAATCTTCAGTTAATTAGAAATAGATACATATATTGAATTGGTAATAATAGTTACATTTTCTTTAGTTGTGAAATTGTCACTGCTTATTTGAATCTGACTTAACCCTTCAGATTTACTTATTAGTCTTAAACTAACAAATAAAAAAGAAATGAAATGAAATGAGGTTTAACATCCTACTGTTCTGCTCCGACTGGGCTAATGAAGACGGCCATACACCATGCAGTGTGCTATGAGGGAAATTTGACCGGACAGTGACAAAATAAAAGCTAGGAGTCATATCATTTGACTTCATGTCACATGATAAGTGGACACTTGACTAAACCAAATCATTCAGTTCATTAAAAGAAATTACCTGCTTCTTCAGGAAAATATTCTATTCGATAATATTCATCTGTTTCTCGTATTATTTTGGTGGCTAATTTCCGACCACTTGGTGCTATTTAAAATATTTCATATCTCTAATCAAAAAATTCGCAATAAATGGATTTTCTATATTATTCGATTCATTTACAAAGATGTGAAACAAATTAGAACAAATTCAAAAATGCTACACATTTAACTAAAATTTTCATGCCAACATCTGCAGTAACAAATAGGGTTAAGTTTTTAATTATCTTGCACCATTAAAAACATTTAACTTAATAAAAACAAAACAAATTACAAAATAACAAAAACCCTTTAAATTCCATAATTCAGTCACCAAAATTAAATCTTTTAACATATTATACAATCAATATTTTGATTTGAAATTCAATTACGGAAAGCACAGTTTTCATTTTAATAAAAAAATAAATTCACATTGTCTTAGGTTTTGAATAAAGTTATTGAACTGTTTTGATGGGTACAAATAAAGATTTGTATAGAGAATCAGTTTGGAAAAAAGGAATTAAGCCACACAATAATGTAAGAGAATCTATATATCAAAAAGAACATTATATTGTAGCATAAATATTTATCTTAATTTGTGAACACTCGTTTTTCTGTACTTCAGTAACTGGGCTTCCATCAAAATTTAAACCATTCAAAGTATACTTACCATTTTAAGTTTAAACTTTAAACAGTTAAGAGATATATTCCTTGCTTTTAGGCGGTAAGAAACGGTTAATATAGTTTGAAAGGACGGAGGGAAGTGGTAGGTCTGCATGCCAACGCCAAAAATAACAAAAATTCTATTTTTAAAAACTGAAGCGTTCTATTCCTTCATAAAGTCAGCACCGCTTCATTTAACATTCCTTTCAACCGCTTAAACCTGAGTCCCTTTTTTCTTTACCTATCCATTAAAACATTTCTATAAATGTCTTTATATACTGGAAGTAAATCTTACAAAACAAGTGATTTGTTTAATCTGAGATTTTGCAGATATATATATATATTTAAGCAAAAAGACCCACTGTAATTCATTTCTTGAGTTACTTCCATGCTAATGATATAATTTCTTTTCATTTTGAGATATAGAAAATCATTCAAACTTTATACCACCATACTTATACATAACATACAATTATTTTATTCATAATATTTATTCTATTAACCATTAAGGCATTAGTATAATGTATATATTTTTGTTCATCATAAAATTAAACATTCCACTTAATAAAAAAAATTTAAGCCATGCTGACTACATGTAAACATTCAAACACCAAACTACATGACATACAAAACAAACTGATGACATATACAACACAAGAATGTTAATGGGTGCAATTGGTTAATAGCAGGAGAACATGCAGATTAGTTAAATATTCGAGAGAAAAGGTTATATAGACATCAATAATTTAAAACTTTCAGACAGATTAACTGTAAAATAAGACCGATCTATAACTCTTTTGTCTTAATTTGGTGAAAAGTTTATGATTGATGTTGACATGTATGACCTGAGACACCATTCAAAATGTCACCAAGAAAGTTCATAAGTTGATAGATCAATCCGAAATAACAGTTATCATGCCAGTATCATTAAGTGATACAAAGGATTATATAATTAAGGCAATATAATGATGATTATTCATAAAATATAATTTAGAATATTTCAAAGATATATACAGAAAATTGTCATTTAAAATTTAGATCTAATCATTGCTTTATGAGATTTTAAAGACGTTTCTTACACAATTAAAATTGTACTCACATATAACATCTACATTAATGTTTCCACCACCAGCTCCTCGGGTTTGAACGTTGAATACAGCCGGTCGGTTTACTGGTACCAGACTCAATCCATCACCAGTAACTGTTACCATACTGGAATCAACAATTTCTAAAGTGTAGGGTGAACCTGTAGAAAGAATAATTGAAATTAAAATAAACAAAACATTAACTTATATTTGATAGAAAACTCAAACAGATTTCAATTTTACAAACAGGATAATCAGTCAAGGTATGAAACAAGGTAATAGCATCAGACATCAATCATTTTTACATGTCAAAAATCGCGATGTACACATATATTTCTTTATTTAAACTATAACATAATCATAAACACAAATAAAAGTATCTTTTTTTTTTACGTCTTGCATTTAATGTAATTTTTATGTTGTTATGTCAACTACACATGGTTTTTTTCAGCACATTTAATAATACAGTTTGAATATATTTTGGAAGGACCTATCAAGTGCAAGAGAGTTATAATGACATTTTGGAGATAAATAGCTAATAAATTGACATTGTCATAAAGAACCCAAAACAAAATGCCCTAATAACTGAATTCAAATTAAAATCCCATTTTCGAATACTTATATACATGTAGGCTACATATAAGTATATTAATCATTATTCAAAAGATAGAAATTGTTAATAAAAATAAAATATTATACAATACAGAATTTTAGGTTGTCACTATTTATCTCCTACTTAAGCTGATTAAGAATTAAGCAAAGAAATTGTTATTTAAATTTTTGGCACTTCAACAATTTGTACACTTCTACTGAGAAAACAGAGTGTGAAGAAATATATATTTTGTGCATAATAATTGGAAGAAAAAAGCTAGAAGTTACTCATTTATTACAAAAGATTGTAAATATATATACATGTATATAAGTAGATCTAAAACTACAAAATATATATTTGTAATACCAGCAAGTTTTGCCTTATAAATTTTCTTGGTAAATATTTGACAAAAATCAAAAGGTGAAGGTGTACTTACTTTAAAAATATGAAAGTTATAAAAAATACTGACATAATAAACATCTTAGCAAAAAATGGGATTTATTTTAGAGCTTTATATGCATCTTAAAAAAAAAAATAATTTGGCAAATTCAGCTTTATGAAAGCTTAGAAAATTATGGTTTTCATAAGCTTTTTGCTTTAAGCACTATGGAATTTCTATATAAATATCAGCAAGCATATGCAGTGGGTAGTTTTCAATTGGAAAGCACCAACACATAGGGATGGATAAAGGGTGTGGGGGAAAATTGTCATTCAACTGCATTTCATTTAAATAGCAATTTAGGGGTAAATAATTTAGCCTAAGTCCACACACTAGATTATTATTTTCCTATATGTTCTCTGTAGTCACTCACCTCTGACCTCTTCACCAGCAAATCTAACATTAACTTTGTAAGCTCCAGCACCTTGTGGGGTGAAGTTGATCTTGTGTAGACCATTAGATTCTAGTGTTGTATAACATGGAATATTCTGTCCCTGATAATTGACAGTCACATCTAAATCCCCATCACCAGCCTGTGATGTATCAGCTAAAACATACAAATGATTTACATAATTTGAAATATAGTGTTTCAATCAAATCAGAATGGTTTTATCGGAATGGTCATTTGCTGGTATGATAGATTTCTTATTTTAGCAAGATGGTCACTTGCTGGGATGATAGATTTCATATTTTAGCAAGATGGTCTCTTATTAGGATTGGGTTCATTTGATGAGATCTCAATTGCATGATGTGGTTTTTGATCCAAACCAGATGATTAAGCTGAAACAAGATTTGCAGAGAGTTTGGGTTCTTAGTTATTTCACCGAATGACATCTTTGGAGATTCCCCTATCACAGATACAGTTTGTTTAAATAATATACTGATCTATGTACTATGTATCCATGACTTACCATTGAAAGCCAGAGCTTTTCCAACAGCACCACCTTCTAATCCATAAACTTTAACAGCATTAGGATCATATACTTTAACTGTATAGGGGCTACCACCTACATCAACATCATCATATCTTACTGACATCTGCCAATCACCTAAAGAATAAGGACAAATGGTTAATTTCATGAATGACCCAGGATAGAAATGTGAATGAGATCATAGACAGAGATCATTTTACATTAGTTTAGTTCATGGAATGTGTACGTTTTTATTGAACAGAATATTGTTTAAATTGATGCTTTAAGGTGTTTGATCACAAAAGAAAAACAGACAATGTACTGCTGCACAATAATCTGCTTCATAATACAACAATTCTTGACTACAGCACTGGGACCTCAATATAATGCATGGTGGGGGATCTAAAATGTTCCCGATTATATTATAGTAAAACCCATATGTGGGTGTTGTCAGTAATAATGCTGAGAGTACAGTATATGATTGTAGCATAACATAAGACATTTTCTTAAGTCATGTATTCAACCTGTGATGAACTGGAGGATTTATATTTTCATGCAAGTTTCTTAGCATTCTTACCAACTTCTGTTGGATTAAAACTTCCAGAATGAACACCACCCCTATCAGTGACCGTTAAACTTTGTAAATGGCCACTGGGTGATCTAGCCTCAATTCGTACATTCCCTTTTCCAGCTCTTGATGTGTCTACTTTCATTTCTGTGGTTTGACCAATGGGACATTTTTCTACTGGATGACAGTATACTTGTGAACGATCTGATGAAACCTGGAAACTAACTGGACAGCCTGAAACTGCTTCTCCTTCAACATACACATTCAACTAAAATAAAAACAATTTATTCATTTAGAGATTTTCAAATAGACATAAAGAGACATTTGTTTATCTGTGGTTTCAAGCTGGACAATTATTATTATAATGAATCCATATTAATTGTCATAAGGACACTGACAGTGAATTGTCTTGGTGGAATACTGCCACATATTGCATTGTCATGGTCTGGCGAAGAACTGCCATGGAGGAGAAGGTTAGAAGATTTAAAGCTGAAATTTCCTTGGTGCAATTGACCTGAATATAAATCTTCATGAGTCACATTGCCCAATTCTAAATTTTTATTGTGCAAATTTTGTGAAGGTGAAATAAATTTTATGGAAAGGACTAGGTAATGAAAATTTTCATTGTGAAGATATAATCTGACAGTTAAGATTGTCTAATAGTGAATATACATTGTGGACATGGTGATTTATGGTATTTGAGTCCTTCTATTGACCTGAGGTAAATATAACCAACCTTATGCATGCCAGTTTCTGAAGGAGTAAAAGAACAGGTAGCCGTTTTGCCAGACCAATTCATTCTAACTGGTGGAATAGAATCAGGACCAATAACTTCAGCTCTTACATCATGTGGTAAAACATCTGAGTCGACAGATACTTGGAATGTTTTCTGAAGAATACAATACAAATTTACTTATTTGAAGCTGTATAAATTATCATTATATTCACAGAATGACAATTTAATCAAAATAAAACTACTTTCCTGCACTGTTATAATTTTTTATGCATCAGATAATAGCACCCATGTAAAATGTGTCATAATTAAATATGTTCCAAACAAAATCAAAAGCAAATAAAAAAAATATAGGCCTATAAATGGAGCTATGAGTTTATTTTAAAACCGTTAAACTGTTTAGTGTTAGTTTTAAAAAGATTCACTTCCAGACATTCACAAAAAATGTTTTTATTTACAGTTGTAATTACATATAAATCTCCCTTGAGTTGTTTTTAAACCAAAAAGGCTTTTTTCAAAAGAGAAAAATAATCTGTTGGACATTGTTGTTATATAAAAACAAAAGTTCAATTTTTTAAAAAAATGAGTTTTTCTTTGATGTGTACACAAAGGAATTGGAAATAGTCACATGATGAATTTCATACATGTATGTGATATTTAAGGCAGACGTGATAATTGTTTAAGTAAGAATGACTATGGGAGTAACTCCCACTTGGACAGTAAAGGCGTTGATTATCACATGTGTGTTAAATCTCAATTAGAAAACATATAAATTTTACTGAATCTAGCCTTGATTTAATCAACATTTTAATTATTTTAACAAATACATAACAATCTAAAATAATTAATAAAATATAAATAGTAAAATTAAAACACTAAAAATTATGTCTAATTTGTCATCTAATTTTTCTAATATCTACATTTTTTGAAAAAATCTATTGAACTAAAAACATCACACATTCATATTACACTTGATGTCTAAACTACATAAAATTAAGCAAAATAAAAACACAACATTTTCTACACCCAATTTCTTTTTAGGCAATAAAATACAATTAATACAAAACCCCTTTTTCGTGATGTGTTTTAACTTTTAACGTTGGAAATACTGGTAATTAATCTTGTAAATAATGTATACTGGTGATGAAGATGAATTTCATGGACTGATGAACACTTGACAAATGTCATGTGACTTGGAAAAAAATTTTAAAATACAAAAATCTGACTTTTATGACTTCTCTTTAAGAAGACAAAGTAAAAGAATATATTTTTTGTAGGCATGCATCTAAAAGAGACAACAAAAAGACATTTGTCTTTTAAAAATCAACTATTTAAACATTGGACATAAAGTTTACTAGTACATAATGTTAAACTGCGAGACACATATAAGCGCTCTTATTCTTAATGCTGTGAGACACATATTTTTTGTACTGTGAGACACATAATAAGCACACATACTCTTAATACTATGAGACACATGATAAGCTATACACGCTTAATACTGTGAGACATATAAATAAGATCACAGTCTTAATACTGTAAGACACAACACACATTCTTAATACTGTGAGACACATAATAAGAGAGAGAGAGGCTTTAATGTCCACTTGACACAAACTAGGTCATTTTGGGACTAACATATGGGTCAATTTTCAATAATTTGATAGCGTGTAGGGGTCTTTAGTAGTGGGAGAAAACACGAGGACCAGGAGAAAACCCATGAGGTTGGACAAACAACCCTACTCCTTGTCACGTACAAACGGAGAATCGAAACCATGCCACTTTACTCAGTTAGTGTAACTTGCTACAAATATGACAGAGTATGCATTTATGTCTTTGGTCCAATAGGAAACAGGATAATTTATGCAAAAAATGGTTAGTTTTCTAAATTACTACATATAGCTAGAAACACATAGGCGTAGGAGCTCAAAGTAATTCAGGGGGCATAAGAGAAAATTGCCCGAAATCAATACCGTTTTTTCGGGCATACATATCATAAGAGAGCTTCGGGCATATTTTCGGGCATGCAGTGGACAAGAAAAAGACGAGAAAATACTTTTCGGGCAGTGCGGATCTCATAGAAATAAGTTAGTTATATTTTTTCTCTAAACGTTAATAGAAAATAAAGGTCGTCAAATTTTTCATTGCCCGAAAATAAATTTTTTGGGGGGTAAATCACCCCCGGCTCCTACGCCTATGTACAAACATATTTAATAAATAAATTACTATATAGCTACTAACGAACAGATAAATAGGAAAATTCTTCAATACATACATGTGATGATACCATTCACATGTTTGTTGTTAAAAACTTAATAAAAATCAACAACATGTTGGATTTTATTCCATTAAACCAACAATATGCATGCAAGTTCAACATCCATACACAAATACACATCTATTTGGTAACAATATAACAGGGGAAACAGATTGATTATTGATATCAAGATCAGTACAGAATATGTTCTCATTGTAAAAATATCAACAAGGAAACATTGATCAACAAAACAACAGATTCTGTAATTTGATCTGTGTGTTTTGTGCATTGTGTTCAAATGAATATAATCAATAGTTTTTCACTGACATGCTGATGATCTGTAGACAGGTACTCAATTCACACTTAAAGAGACATATCATCCCACCCACGAAGAGCAGGGGTTGGTAAGCCATAGTGGTCTTGAGTGTCGGGCTTCGAGTTCTTACTGGCCGTCACATGTGTCTTGGTTTCAGTGCCTGTTGTGAGCATATGTGGCATGGAGATAAGAGGCTCCTTCTCAACCTCGTGGGTTTACTCCGGTTTCCCGGTTTCCTCCCATAGCAAAAACCCTTGTGCATGTGCTGCATATATACTAAAATAAGACCACTTGTCTGTGAAAAACAACAACAGCCATGAACAGACTTAATGTGGTCTGCATAATTTCAAATTCAAACTATCTTTCGTTCATCTAATTACCATATCAAAAATGGAAGCACTGACTAAATCAGAGTTACAAATCATGATGACTATGCAAATTTGACCAAATTTTTTACAAAAACCTACATTTATTGTGATTTGAATACCTCTGATGTTATCTTCTATTTAAATAACATCAAATTGAAAATTATTGTTCAGTCGATTATAGAGATTTAAAAATACTAAATTAATTCCTCTTTAATCTCAAAAAAAGAAAGTCGGAAGTAGATTAATTTTAATATAGTCATCATAATAAAATTGTAATAAAAGCTGTCAAAATTGGATTGAGAAGAGGTTACAATGCTCAAGATTAATCTCACAAAAATATTACAGTTTAAAAAATACCAAAGATAAGTTCAAAGATAAAATATCTGAACTTACTTTCAGAAGATCTACTTGCTTCCAATAATAATACATGTTAAAATATTAAACTTTTTCGTATCCAAAGAAAAACACCTTTCCTGTCCATCCTATTCTATACTTTTACTCTATTATAGGGCCTACTTTACTATATAGACAATGTTATTTCAGATCATCTGTCAAAGACTCCACATTGCAGACATTTTTTATTAACATTATCCATAGTAGTCATTGTATTTACATTGATCCTGTGAAATATTAAACCAAGGGTTCATATATACATGAAGGAGGGCATGTCTAGGGTCATCATGAAAAATAATTGAAAATGGTATCATTTAACTGTTTAATATCCACTCAATTAACTCAGTGTGTGCCAAGTTCTGTGGGTTGATTATCTTATTATTTTTTGATGTTGAATATAGTTTTGTATATTTGAGAGGGTAAGCAACAGTAATGGTGGGATTAAGTATGCAATTCAAACGATAAAATGTGCAAGAATAGTCCAAATAGTTTGTTTAAAAGTTTCAGTATGAGTGTACGAGTATGATCCTTAAAAGATTAGCTTACCAGGGTTAAGTAATTATAAATCATTTAAGGAATCCCCTGTTCAATATACGAGTGACTTCATCATCATGAAAATATGTAGATGTGGTTATACAGTGCTCCATATGCCTCTGGTGAATGGTGTTAGACACACAACTATTCAGTTTTTGATGTAATTTTTTTGTACAACTATTAGCAAATTTCTATATTCTAAATCACTTTAAAATAATTAATAAGCTTTCAACATAGCAAGAGTCATGATCAGTTAATGCCTACATCATTCTACAAGTGTTAGTCCGCTTCAACTTCTATCTTTACCTCCTTTCTACTAAATCAAACAGCTACCATTCTAGTGTATTATTCTATTAGATTAATTATCAAATTTAATGTCTGCAACAAAGACTAAAACATTAAAAATTTACAGTTTCTTGATATAAGCATCCATCTTGGTCAAAATCCAGAATTGGAGCTTGCTTCTCACGGCTCACAGTTTCAACCCTTTTTACATCTTCTTTAATGACATAATCTTGTAAATTAAATGCAGAATTTGCAGGTCTTATGACGTCTTCTTCTATGGCAACCGTCTCTGATTGGTCACCATTTTGTACATGACTGCTCATGTACTGTAGCTCTTCCTCTTTGACCTCTCTGACATCTGTCTTAGAAGCAGATGACATTGTGAAAGGCTGAGAACCGTTCCAATCCTGTTGTTGTATCATTGAGGTTGTTGATACAGGTATGGCATCAACATCATCACCACAGTTTGAGGATTCTACAACTTCTGTTTGAGACTCCTCAATAATTACTATAGAAGGGGACTGAAATTCAAGGCATGCAAAAATCTTGACGATTTAGATTATAATCAAATAAAAAAATAGACTAAAACAGCATGCCATAACATTAACAAAACACTCAAAAATAGTAATATAATATTATTAGCTAATAAGTACATATAACATTGCATGCTAATTATGGAGTAAAAATGTCTTCCTGACAAATAGGTTGCTTAAATTCACATACATTTGATTGGGATATAAACAATCTGTATGTCCGACGCAATCCTGCAAATTTATGAATTGCAATTTAAGATTCCTTTGATCGTTATTTTTTGCTTAATATATAACCATTGAAAAGGTCTCTGCACGTTAGGTCAAATAGTAATTTTAATGTTCTAAATATATGTTACATAAAAACCTAAAACACCAATGAAAGGAAAAGCCATTAAATATATATATATATATTAGACTAGGAGCAAACAAACAATTCATAATGATCCCACCATTTACCCTGGAATCTTTTATATCAATTTGTAACTATCTTAAAGCGAGAATTTCATATTATTTCTATGTCTTTTGCTTAATAGGTTGTCAACTCACTATTATATGATCATAGGTATCATTCTCACACTTAAAATCATTCACCCCTGGAAATAATAACACAATTACCTCCCTTGTTTTTCTGTTCACCCCAATGGAATAGCTATCTTCAAACATTTGAATTTGAAGTTGAAAATGATATTTTTGCCAATTTCTCAACTGGCAATAGTGAATTATAGGATTAATAGGATTATTCTTTAACAAGGTAGGACTGTTTATAGATACCATCTATTTAAAGGCTTTATTTTAATACATTTTAAAAATATAACTTAAAAATATGAAATAATCGCTTCAATTTGTTATACAGTCCAAAAATAAAATGGTGAATATAATGTAAGTGTTTTTGGGACTAATATATAATGAATCTGTATTGTATTTGTACAGTCTTTGTTTTTTGTCTTCTATGGATGAATTAATTCCCTTCACATAGTGTTTTCATTAATCTTGTTCCTTGCAAATTATCTAAAGCCTGTGTCACTACAGACCTGGGACTGTGCCCACAGTGGATAATCACCGTCTGCTCCTGGATCCATTGACTTGATTGGATAGTTCTCCTATGACGTACAATGTTCATAATTTTGTCTTGTCCATGTGTTTGTCTTGTTAATTGTTATTAAAATTTAATGTTGATGTCCTCCTGCACTTACTATTATCAGAGGCAGAAAACTGGAGAACGCGGATATCTCAAGAAATATAGTCAAAAAAATTAATAACCATATGCTTACCTCTTGTCCAACATGAATGTTCTGAAAGTCCCCATTTATTGTTGCTTTATCTGCTACCACCCTACGAGGAGTCAAGCGTGTGAAATAAGCAGCATATGCCATTATTCCAAGATGTTCCACATCAGGGTCAGACATTTCTTTGGCAGACAAAATTGGTTCAATTCCAAGCTTTCTAGCACTATCCATTCCTGTGTAGAGAAATCAAGAACTAGCATCGATGGGACTAACAAAATCATTTTGAAGTATTTATTGGTGTTCAATAATTTTTATATTCTAAAGAGTTTAACGATGAAAATGATTATATAAATATTAAATTTTAAAGAAATAACTTAAAAGAAAACCATATTCAGGGGTACAGTAATTACTTTATTCTAAAATCAATAATATATATTGTTTTGTCATGTTTCATAGAGTGTTATATCCCTTCGTTTAAGAATAAATTTGTCTATTTCAAGGGTACGCACCATTATGCATTTTCAAAATGATATTTGCTCTATAAAATACTTAATTTTGTCTACTACTAATGTATATTTTTATTCATGCTTATCCATGCTAACAGTTAATTCAGATGTACCGATACCTTTAAGACAATGAAAACGGTTCTAAGAAAGATTTCAAAAGAGCAAGAACTGTATCCATTTACAAGAATGTTAATAAGATAATTGAAACAATAAATTGAAATGTATTAGTTATTTCACAAAAAATGTTGTGACCATGCAGAGGAGAGTCTTAATTAAAATACAGCTGTTGAAGAAGTACTTTAAATTTTCGATAGAAAGATTTTAAGCTTATAAAGCAGAATCTCAGAAACCAGATTTCTGCTTTGAATGACAGATTTTATTTCCATTCTCATAAGAAAATAGTCTCTAAAGATATATGTGTCCTTCAAATGCACCCAAGTAATATATCTACATGTACGTCCTTTCCCCCACCCTTTTAAAGATTATAATTTTCTGATCTAAGAAGGTAATACAGTCTGTTCACATGCTTTGAACAAACTCTTATTATTTACTTATCAGAATTTAACTTTTTTTTATCATTTTTACCTGCTAAAATGTATAAAGATTCACTAGTGTAATTTTATCATCAAAACATAAATATTCAGGACACACAAAATCAAAGACAATTAACATTTCAAGCATTCACAAATAGACAATTTCTGACACAAGAACAAACTCCCCAATGTCTTTAACTTTTATCAATAAATAATGGTAGAAAAAATAAATCAAAATGTAGCATCATATATTTACACCTTTTTCACAAAAATAAAATAGAATTAAATTAAAAATAAAATAAAATAAAATAAAATAAAATACCAACAAGATGCTCAAGGTGTATTCAAAGGCAAGAAACCTAACAATATACATCAATACCTCTTTGTAAATTTTCCACATTATTTGATGTCATATTTGGCCAGCCTCCAGGCTCTACTCCGAGAGATTTGGTCAGGTTACATAATAATATACCATCATGCCAATCAGTCTAGAAATAAAGTGGGTAAATTGAGATATTATCAGTTTTATATTTATTATAGGTTATTATAGACCTACAAAATTACTAGTAAACTTTATTACTGGGTATTAAACACAGCTGTACTCAACAGACCTATGTTAGGGCTCTTACGTACACGTACAATACTGAAAATCTAGCCTACTATAGAAATATGGCAATAATAGTTATTAAAAAGAAATTGTTATACATCTGAAGAAGTGAGGGGTCATTTTGAAGTTACAGAGTTGATTCCCTTGCTCTTCAAAACTTGCTATTGAAGAGTTAATTCATCATTGGATTTGTGGGGCCATGGTGATTTAGAGATTAACCAGGAGATCCGAGAACGTTTCTCAGGATTTTTCAACTTGTCAGTGGTGTGTGATGGAGGGGCTGTGTAACTAAAGGAACCCTTGGCAGTTGGATTTGACAAAGAGTAGGCTAAATAACCTCATTACACACTGCATGATGTACAAGTGTATGTTTGTCTTCATTAACATAGTTGGTGCAGAAAAGTAGGACGTTAAACCCCACTTCATTTCATTGGACTTGTTCATTTACCCCTATTAAATGGCTTGGAGATAAGGCTGCAAGTGGATGTATTTTGTACATCTAGTTCTGTGGACTTGAAGATTTGAATAGTATTATATACCGTGTAATCTTTATTTCCTTTGAAAGAAAATATGAATAGAACAAATGTTTGTATACTTACAGTAAAGTTGTTTATGGTGCCATGTTTTAAGAGAGCTCGGACATTTCTTAATGTAGCATGATAACCAGGAGAATCAACAGTCATATAGTATGATAGATAGGTCATACCCGATAAATCATCTAAATGTGGACTAGAGAAATCTTCTGGTCGTACAATCATTGGGATATTAAATTCATTTTTAGCTAATGTCATAGCTCTCGAACAATTATCTAATCTGTAAAATAAGAAAAACAAGAAACTTATAATTAAATATGACTTAATTAAACAAATTTGATTTGATGATGAAGATAGCTTGAAAGAATTATATTCAATAATTTGTAAGTCACTGTTTAGTCCATTCGAATTACTGACATAATTACATTTAATTTAGTCCTCAAATGCAGATTATCATGTATCTTGATTGTAAAGCACAGCCCACTATTTTTAGGTCCTGGGTTTGATTTTCCGGCATTTTTTTATTATTTTTTATTATAGGTTGTGCTGTGGACACGTTTGTCGTTTGTGTGCACGTAAAAGAACCCTAGAGTAGGCTGTTTTAGCCTCTGTTAAGACAAAATTTCTCTCAAAGCATACTGCATTGCATATATGTCCATCTTTATTACCGGTAGTAGGCCTATACCGATGGAACAGAAAGTATGAATAAAACATAAGCTCTGGTTCACAACAATGAACGTCTAAGTGTAGAGTGGGCATATGATTCTCAATAGCTTTATAAGGAAGCCCGTGTAAATTTTAACATGTTTTAAAGTTACATTTTTATATACGAGAAATCTTTTATGTTTTTACCCAATATGTTATTACTCCTGTAAATAATCTTAATTAAATCAACCGGGCCATAATATTATGTATAATGTATTGGATTTTAAATTTGTAATAAACAACAACAAATTTAGTTGACAACGTGGTTTGGTGTCTGGAAAGGGATGTTGGGGTTGACAATGTGGAGCAAAGACTAACAGTGACAGAATATTGGACATACACATTTCTGTATGCGTAGTGATTCATATATGTATCACTTGCATTGCAACACATCAATAAAGTAATCATACCATTTGCCTGAATGTATTTTGGCCTACAGCTGTTATACAATGTTATAAAGACTTAGATGGCAGCATGGCATACAAAATCCATCAATGAATATTCAAACTATACTTGTTCAAATAGAAAGGAGAATTTTACAGCATTTCTGACATATTGCTCAATGACAGTTAACAAGCAGATTCTCCAGATCTGAAGGTGCATTTATCCTACATGTAATTTGATTATGTCACTTGTACTGTTTTTGAATACTCAACCTTCTACAAGTGATATAATAATCAAATAGGGGATTTGTATATAGAGACAATAATTGTCTATTCTGTCTACAGTCTACATATTATTTATACATTGATACAGGTGGTATATTGTATGTATATTGTATTATAATAATACTTGTAGGAGCTGTCAAAGAGAACAATTAAACTATGGTATGTGTCCATGCATGAGTAACTGGCTGGGAAGTGGACCTTAAATTCTTTATCCCTCGAAAGCTGTAAAACGGTTGAACAGTTCAAGGAAATATGGTCAAATATTTAAACAGTGACATTCATGCATCATAATATGCCTTTAGCAACATTTTCCTGTAAATTTTACAGGTTTGAATTTCATAACACATAAAGGGATATTGTCAGATATTATTGCAGTGTCCTGTATAGCGATAGAATTTGCCATGGAGACACAGGCTGACATTGTGAACGATCAAATAATTTAAGAAAAGCAATTTATCAACTTCAAACTGTGAGCACTATTTTTTTCTTGTCATAGATAATTTTATAATTTTGAATAGATCTGCAGGGGACCATCTAACATAAATACAACTGCTAACTATCAAAGAAATTTCTTTCAATATAATCAAGATTGTAAGAAAGAAATATTTGGCGACTTTGCAACCCAGAGCAACTAGTTGCAGTCAGTTGCAAGAGTGCTTATGTCGATCATATCAGCAACTGAGGACAACTGGGAGCAACTGAATTCGGAGGGCTTATGTCGACACGGAACTGATAGCGATCACACTGCACACGTGACTGTTATTTTATTTATCATGTGATCAACAAAATGGCAGATCACCTAGAAGAAGCAACCCAAAGGCATGGTCGGTCTTGCTACAATTCTATTAGTATATTATTGTCAACATCATCAAAACTTGAAAAGTGGGTGTCTTCGTTCACTTCCATTTGCTTATTTATAAAGTCACATGACACATGTCTCTTATCATGTGATGTTATTTCCATGGAAACGAGTTGACTCCAGTTGCAAGAACGCTCATGTCGACTGCAACTAGTTGCCGCTAGTTGCAGCAAGTTGAACATGTGCTACTGACTGCAACTGACTGCAACTAGTTGCTTTGAGTTGTAAGAGGCGCTCAGGTCGACTTTTTTCAGTTGCATTCAGTTGCTTTCAGTTGCTCCTAATTGCCGAAACGCCAGTTGCTTTCAGTTGCAAGGTCGACATAAGCCCCCCTTTAGACTCTATTTATACCTATCTTCAACATTTTGGTATGGTTAATATTGAAGCCAATTCAAGGCTGCTTAATGATAGTATTTAAAAAAACTTATCTATGAGAAATATGAGAAATATTTATTAAATTTGTGAAAATATGTGTCATATATTGTGTTGTTGTATATGATATAAGAGTGTGGGGTATTAAAGGTAATTATAGAGGATAAACAATGGAAAAACACCAGGAGATAAGAGGATTATATATATATACATCTGTAATATAAACCACAAGTCTATATTATGTCATAAATAAATATCACAATGATCTTTTCAACTTGATCAAAAGATTAATGATACAATGAAATATTTTGAAATGGTCATGGGTTTAGGGAAAGTAGAAGAGTCTGGTGGAATCTTCCCATCCTTTGTTTCTTCGTAAAAAAAAACAGTGTAAAAATTTGAAAATCCACTTAACTTTACAAAACACCCTGCTTTTTCCGAAAAATTTACAAAATGAGGATAGGAGGGCAAATGGCTTTTTGTCAATGACATTTTGATGGTGTAGGATGAATATTCCAAAAAGAATAAATATACAGGTGATGCTCAGACATAATCTTTTTGAGATACTACCTAGTGCACCTTTAAATTAATTTTAATTTTTGCTTTATTAGGAGTTCATCTTTGATTTAAAAACATCCTGACATTTGTTAAGATATGTTTGACAAGTATGATTGTCATGTAGTTTAAGTAAAAGTATGATTGTCATGCAGTTTACGTACAATATGATCAACTGATTAACATACACACCCTTGTATAAATATTGTGCAATGACAACATGTGATTTTAGATCAGTGTGTACTGAATAATCAGTCTACTCTTTATTGAAGCTCCAAATGTAGTTTTTTTTTTGTTTTCTTCAACATACACTGGTTGTCTTTTTCTGTTGTGAGAAGTTGTGGGGAGTTGCGGGGGAGGGGGTTCTAGTGTATTGACCTTGAAATGAATCCAAATACAAGTAGGCTTACTAAAAAGAGATACTTCACATCATTTAATGTTAATCCAATGTGCACTTTCTTTGCTAATACCTGGAATTTGTATCCTAAAAAGTTAATTAATAATTTCTATAGATGTTGTAGTAATTAAATTTTTTTTGGCTAGACAGCTATTTTCTACTACAATGCAGCATAGATTGTTTACCTACAGCACATTTTTGCTTTGTTTCTAAATCTACCAAGCTTTCATAATTGACATAATTATTAACTTGTGTGCACATAATTTAAAATCAATCCAACGATCCAAATCTAAGATAAAAACATTACTATATGAGTAATCCTAGCAGGGTTAAGGATATGTCATAACAATAAAAAGAAATATGTTAATGTTTTGGCCTATGTGCTTGGAATAGATATTTGATAATGATATATAATATCTACATATATCTAACAATGATATACCTGTCTTAAAAACACATTAATTTCACGAGAAATAGGACTACAATGTATGTTATGTAGAATGCATTAAACGAATACTGTCAGATATTATTGTGGTTGTCCATCCTAATAAGGATTTCCCAAATGATACATGTACATAAATAAGTAAACAAAAGGGTACACATTTAAGGATGAGACAAAATTATAGTCTTCTTTGTTAAGTCAAAATAAATGCAATCACACCTATCAGATTTATTTTTAGATAGACATAATACTATCTATATTTTAACAAATGAATTTAGAGAGGGACAACTCAGTGGTGGACTATACCATTACAATAAATATGTCCAAATAAATGCAGATCAATTCATTTTTTACGTGTGTTTTTTTTTAGTTCTGAAGTGCAGGTGTTTCTAATAAAAGAGAAAGATGAATCATAGATTCATGTAGAATAGAACATGCACAGATATATTCAAAGAAAAATATGTACATGTTCAGTTATAGATTCAAGATTGGTTTTCATGTATAGCCTCTTAATATTAAGTGGTTGTGTTCATTAGACTTTCTTTCCATTCAGTAATTAAGTGTCACTTTAAAGGTTCATACCCTTTGACCTTTCATTGTCAAGCAGGTAGTAGGAAAAGCAAAGTAGAAGGCTACACCCTGTCAGAACTGTCCTATTTACTCAAGCATGAACTAGCATTTTGTCATAGTTTACAAATAAAGGTTGAGCTGTTTTAAGACCAGTTGTGTTACTTTAACACCATGTATCTTGTATAATACATTTGATGTATCTGTGTTTTATATCACATAGTCTATCATATTAACACATTTCAGATGATATATAATACATGTATTTAATCATTACATGCAGACTAGAGCCTTCAGAATGTATCAACACTGATTCTCGTTTGTTAGGGTGTAGTGCCTGCAGGGCTGACAAGGAAAACTTTAACCAAGTTGTTTGGATGAGGGGAGAAACAATGGTCCCTCTCTGTGTACACATTGGCATGCATGCATACTCTGGCTAAATTCTCCTCCCTAGCACTACACACAGTTGTGGCCATTGTTAATACAATTAACTATATTTTAGTTTCTAAATGAACAAATTATTGCAATGGCAAGACAATGTCTCCTTTCTAGGGACTTGACCCAACAAGAATCAAATAACAAACGATACAGATGATTGTCTTAAAGTTACATGCACAATGTAAATGTAGCAAATCCAAGAACATGCTCGATCCCAATCCCAACCCAATCACAAATTTTAAAAATCTTACATATCAATTGGATATTCAGACAAATTTTTCAAAACACTCCAATGGTCCTGGACATTATAAAGAAACCAATTATATTAAGAAACAAAATACTATTTCCCCATTGAAAAGTTAGAAAATTTTGCCAAGAAAATGTCAAGATTAAAAAAGAAGACTTTACTCTGTAGTCAATGGTGACTGGACAACATTTTAAGCAAATTAATTACATTTCTTCCCTGTTTACTAATTAAATAGTTGATCCTTAGGAGCACATTTTAATACAAGGGGGATAAAATACTTTCGTTTCTAGTGGCAAGTTTTTTCACCCATTTGTTTGCAGACGGAGCGAGAATAACTTTAAGTTGCCTTAAGGGATGACGAGAGACGTTTGTGATGTTTGGTATTAAGGTTTTAAAAGTGTGGCGTTATTTGATTAAGAATGCCTGCATGACCAAGTGGTGACTCCAAATAAGGAATGTTTACAGGTACACTAGTATCTCTACCATAATGTTTTACAGCCATTTAAAGTAAATAATCAACATTTAAAAAAAAGTTAACAAACAGTGTATATAGTACATGTATATAGACTTGTCTATCTATTGTGTAAGTTTAAAGTACAATGGCCAATATCTTGTATGATTAATAATATTATATACCTACATGTATGGTATATAATCCTTGCAGAGTGCTTTAAAAAAATTTATAGAAATATTTCCATGATGTATTCAATTAAAAACACATAACAGTTATATTAAGTACTTGAAATATATGTCAAAGGAGAAAGTAAATTAATAGAACATTTCGATCAAATGGCAATTTTCAGGTAAAAGAACAAAAAATAAATCACCCGATGAAGGACACTTGCCTCAAATGTTGTAATAAAATATATGATTTATATTTTGTTTATTGTCAATATATTTCATATATAAAGTCAACCCTCTTTGGGGTTTTTATCTCCAATTTTTTAACACCATTACGAGTCCATTTTGACTTTTCAAATGACAGCAGATCTATAAATCAAGGAAACTTACTTCTGCCAGTAGGAAAGACAGTTTCTCTTTTCAATGAAATGAAATGTGGTTTAACATCCTACTGTTCTGCTCCTATACTGGGTTAATGAAGACGGACATACGCCATACAGAGTGCTATGAGGGAAATTTTGCCCGGGCAGCGGCACTATCTCCTACTCTTATATCGAATTCCAACTGCCACGGGATCTTTTACGTGCATTCCAATTATACACGGGACCTCGGTTTTTCGTCTCATCCGAATGACTAGACAGCTTTACTTGTCGGGCCCTCCGTTCTGCACCACTGACAAGGGGAAACCACGTCGGAAAATCTGGATGAACTTTCTCAGCCAATGCAGGGATCGAGCACCCGACCTCCAGGCTAGCGAGCCAGTGTCTTAACCACCTAGCCACCGTGACTCCCTTCTCTTTTCAAAGAAGTTTTAATAAATAAGGGACACATAATCCAGTTAGTTTTGTTGTGTGTAAGTATAAAAATGTTACATATATTGTTTGTACTTTTGTTATCATTTGTTCGAAAAATTAAATATGTCATGTTGTTAAACACCAAAAAAAGTAACACAATGTACATGTAGGCCCTTCTTCCTTTAGTGATTCAACTTTTTATACAAAAAAAAATATTGACATATGATAAAGTACTTGCCTCTGTCAAGTTCTCCACATATTTGATAAATATTGTCTGGGCGGGGTCTTTATTTGATTAATCTCACGGTTTGATTCAGTTTAGATTTTAGTCTACGATTTTCTAATATGTTGAAATGATATATTATGATAAGTTATTAAATTTATATCATAAGAAATTGGTATATAAACATGACCATGATCATATACGATCACCACACCCATAACACACACCCTTAAAATGATTTAATATATTATAGATTTTTATATGTAACCAACACCCATAACTATAAACTATAGAGTTTCTGTTTAGTGTTACTTAATACGTCTTACACTAGCATGGCCAATTTAAGAATAGAAAAGGATATGATTATACATAACCCCAACCAGTCTAAAGGAAAGTTAAAAATTTAGTTTAAAACCATACACAATGAAAAGTACTTTTATTTGAAAATATGTGGGCCCAAGGTTTTTCATATTAATCAATTCTAACTTAAGTTTCTGATCATCAACTGAGGGATTGTTAATCCCTTGCAAACCAAAATATTGTGAAAACTGAATCTCTAATACAAATGTCTGGCTAAAAATGGTTTAATTTCATTTAGTATTTACAAAGATAAAATGAATTGAAAATTCATCAAGATTTAAAATTGCCATCCCCTGCATATAATAAAAAAATTGTCTTTTTCATACAAGCCAGCCCATCAGTTCAAGGAAGATTTCATACTTAGATGTGCTTAATTAGATAATATTAATCTTTAAACTAGTACATATTTTTTACTTCTGATGTATATTTGAATGATCTGTTGTTGTGTCTTTAAGTTTTAAACATTATTTAACCCTAATTCTGTTCTAGATACTTTGAAAGAGATTATCTGTAATATCAGGATTCAACCCCTTTATCATTGCTAAACACAGAATAAAACTCTTCAATTAAGCTGAAATGTAAACTCTATTAATAGAGAATACAATATCTAAGTAAACAACCAGCTCTTTCGATCTATTTTTCACGTATTAACTGCCTGAAGAAAATATTTTTAGCTCAACTTTTACTCGATCAATAGTCCTTATATAATGTTAATGAGTTGATCATGTATTATGCATAGACATATTGTATTTACAGTAATCAACTCTATCAAAGAATCAAGAATGTAAGTAGCAGACAACAAAAATCAATTAACTGCGAGCCTTTAATTCTAGTAATTACAAAACAATTCAAATGAATAAATCTTGTTTTGATTTTGTTCTTTCTTCTGAAAAGAACTATACTCATTATATGTTCCATTACATATCCCGAACTTCTTCATCCCAATTTTATATCTCTCCTAAGATATGCATCATGTCTGAGAGAGGTTGCCAAAAAATGTTTAAATTACAATCCAAAGAATGCCTTTATGATGCAAGCATTTTTTCGGAGGTTAGGGTGTCTGCATGCCCCCACAATGTTGTATTAAAAGAGTCAATAAGGGTGTTTCCAGCAGACATTAATTCCCAGAATGACCCAAATCAAAGGCATAAATCAGATTCCTGGTGAAATTGATTTCCTGATAAACACAAAATACAAAGTATTTCTTACCTGTTGTTTCTACTAAGTTTTTTCCAATCAGGACATAAACCTGGTTTACAGTAGTCCAATAAAGCACTGAAATAAAATGATTATATGTCGAATGTGAAACATGTATGATCTGTGGATTGTGAGAGAAGCAAAAGAGAAATTGCCAGATGAAGGCATCTCAGTTGCTCTTTAAAGAAATTTATGGGAAACTGTTTTGTCATTATGTCATTTCAAACACAGAATTAAGCACAAAGTTAGAAATTAAAACAGTCTGGTTATTAATGTCTCAGCTTTAAATTGTGTAATCCAGCAACACCTCAGTTATCGTTGATTCATCATCTGAGAAGAATATCTTCAGCTGCATGTTAGCTCCATGGTTATGTCTATGGCCCTCTTTTGAATTCCATTTGTATCAGAGAATTTTGCCAAGAGGGGGGGGGGGTGTCAACCTTAGGCTTTTCAAGATTCAAGTGAAAAAGATTCTTTACCATTTTGTATACAAGACCTCAGTTTTTATTATGCAAACAACTATACACTTTCTTAAGCAGAATTAGCATTACGTATGACAGGAAGTAAGGGTGTTCTTTCAAATAGAAGTAAATGAACTAATTTATATCTAGACTATTAAAATAAATGTTAGACATACTGTAGTGCAACACCATCATTCCAATCTGACGTAAAGTTACTGATATTACAATCTGGTATCACTGCCTTTAACCATGCTAACATCAATTTTTTGGGAGGGAATTTGGTTTTTCCTATTTGATATCTTAAAATCAGATGCCATATTAATCCCAGGATTAGCTTCTGGTTGCCGTTGACGATATCTTCACTACCTGGAAAAATAAATACAATAAATATAATCTCATTACCTTTTAATTGCCCAATGCTGGTCAATAAAATTTAGAGAGCATCATATTGACCTAACAACTCAGCTCAAATTCAGTGTAGTCACTTGGAACTCTATATAAGAAGCTCCAGACAGAAACCCCAATGGACCTAAAAGAAGTAATGTCTCCTACAGAAAATGTTGGGAAGTTGGAGTTTTAAGTTTTGAGCACTTCTTTGATAAATCCTATTCACAAACTAACTGCAGGATTCAACCTGTAGGAACCAGTATCTATGATAAAAGATATATTTTAATTTAGCTTATATAATTTCCTTTAAAAATAAAACATTTTTCCTGGTTTAAGCTATTGTTAAATTGTAATGTGTGTATTGGTGTGTTCAAAGGTTCTAAACGGACACAGCAACAAAATATAGAGGTTCCTTAAATATATTTTAAAGGGTTGGGAGGGGTAAATAATATATGTCAGATAGTCATGACATGCCTGGATAAAAAAAGGAGGTGGGGACTGACGCATGACCCTAAGCCTTCTACATGTACCAGTATGTCTCTCTCTCTCATATCAGAGGTGGACTGATAAAGAGCCTCACAGGGCCCTTAAAAGAAGTCTATGTTCTTCATAGTTTGCGCCCTTGTTACATCGTTTTTGATGGATTGGGAAGAAACATCAGGATATACTCTAGAAAGCACCATTTACCCCCCCACCCCCACCCCAATATCACACACACACTCTAAGCGTGGGAGCCCCTCTCTGGTCAATACTCAGGGATCCCTAACCCCAGAGTCCACCCAGTCTCTTATAATAAATATCAGTGGGTACATATTTTTGTAATAATGAAAGAAATCCTATTATGGCTGATTACAGTCAATCACAGGTGGTTTATATAAATTATGTATGAAGTATAGAATAGACCTATTGGATACAGTAAACAATGATTATTGTATTGTAATGATATTATATGGTGCACAGCAGTCATACAGGTGTATATATTATACAGTTTAGAATTGGCTATAGAACTAGGTCAAAAAAACCTGTGAAAAGGTACTAAAGCATTAATTTAGGTTCATTTGTTGTATCCCTATAGGATTCAAATAGCTAGTAATGATTCAATAGCCTTAATTAATTAGAATGGCTCTGGGGAGATATTAAACCTCTTTCTCTCATTCTCATTCAATGAAGCCATTTTTGACTATGTTTAAACGAATCAACAGGCTTGCAGGCAATTGTCACCTTTATTATCCAGACATTCTTACACTATAATGTTGTCACCTATACATAGTTTTATTATCCAGACTTTCTTACACTATAATACTGTTACCTATAGTTTTATTGTTGATATAAAAGATTACTACTTTTCACTGAAAAGGTAACTCCTGTGGTTCATGTAATGAAGTGACCGGTCAACTGGCATATGACCTTTCTAGATAATTCACCTATTGTTGCGCTTCAGATAATCCTAACACTCAAGCCATAAATATAACATTTGATCGACATACTCTACATACATGCATTCTAATACAAAATGGCTGATCATGTACATGTTGAGTTATTCCAACAAGTTCATGAATTAAATGTGTATCTTTGCAGTTTCAGGCTCAAATCATGATATCCCTATAATAGATAGATGTAGTATCAAGACGTATCTTTGAAGAAATTTTCACAAATTGGCTAAATACTAAAGGCTTTATCTAATTGGCTCCCAGTAGAATTTGTAAATTTGTTCCATTGATTTGGATCGAGGAGTGTTAAAGATCTGATGGATACTGGAAATTTGATGGCTTAATGAGTACATTGCTAGATCACTAACCAGTTGGCCGAGAAAGTTTCCCTGTGAATATCCATGTTGGTTTCCCCTTTGCCGTGATGCAAGAAAGACAGCCTGACAAGAAACAGCATCCAGCCAGTCTGATGTGTACATGATGGCATGCACATATAAGAACCCTTGACAGTTGGAACTCCATTGCTCTCTGGAGAAACTTTCCCTTAAAGAACTCTGCATGGCTTAATATGCTTGTATTTTTCAGATCACTTGGTGCAGAAAGTAATGAATTAGCACATGGTCTATTTGAAAATCCAGCCACATATAAAGAAAATTGACGTACAAAAAATACCTCTCAATATGAGAAGTGGTGCCAGGTGTTCTAGAGAGCATGCCTGCCTCATGCAGGATACCCACCACTAACTATAGATCACTGGAGCAATGGTTTAGAGTTTGTACCTGGATTTCAAATGCTAAAACCGATGCCATAAAGTACATGTAGAAGATAAACTTGAGAAAAGAGTCACCAGGTTTAAATATAACATGAAAAATAAAATAAGAGCTTTAATAAAAACAAAATAACTTGTGATTACTATCAGACTTACCGATTACAACCTGTAATTGACTGTACTTAACGTTTATAGCCATAAGAAAAATATTGGTTTTTAAAATGTATATAACACCATATGATTTTCACATGTTTCATGCAATATTTTCAAAAGGATAAATGCGTAGCCTTCCTCTCATTAAATTATTCTACAGACACTAATGTTAAACATATTTCTTGTTTCAATATTTGAGAAAAAATATTATAAGGTATAAAAAATGTTCCCACTTTAGTCAAATGAGACAATTAATTGTAATTTTTTTTATTTCAATACAAAATTTCTAGGCAATCTGTGTTTAATTATCCTACTTTAAAGTACAGATGTAACATGCCAATCGTACATTGTTTTTCCAAGATGGCGGAAATATTTGACTCGCGTAATTCTATTATAGAAATGCATGTGCGTGATATGTATCTGTAATTGAAGTTGCATATTTTAATGCCTTCATGCAATATCAATATATTACTTAATGTCTTGCTCTATAACATTAAAACACACTTAAAGATACTTTCCCACAAAAGTATGTACCGGGTGGTTATTTCCAATAAAAGTATGGCAATTTTGGTATATATGGAAAGTAGAGGCACCAATCTTACTAGAAAAATACTGAATCCCCGGTAAAACACTCATGGATTGTGCACAGGACAAATATGAGAGGGGGGCAATAATAGCAGACTGACGATTAAGGGCTGTCCGTTCGGGAGATGTTAAAGGTTGCGCGTGTAGATTGTCTGAACTCTTGGCGTTAGGGAGCCCTAGATGCATATGTTCATAAACATGATGGTAAGCGAACGAGAAAAAAGCGAGAGACTTATATATACAACAGTTTCTGAGATAAAGAGCACGGAAAAAGTCATGGGCAGGGGATAATCTGAGAATTTACTTTGGCTTCAATATTTATGATAAATGGACAGCGATTAAAGACAGCTTCATCATTTATATGCAATGAATTCTCCCCCAGCTTCTCGCTCATTCCTAGTTACTGTGACAGCCGTATCACAGGACACAAACATGACTTCTTTTAATAGATTTTTGATACATGTAGCTTGGCATATTTCGTCGAGAATACAAGGGATTTGAAGCAAAGTTTTGATAGATTAATTAGTTTGAACATGTTTGAATTCAAATATATCATCAAATCACCCAGTTTGTAGGCGGGAAGGTATCCTTAATACAATACATAAAAAAAAAGAATGCAGATAACGCAGGAAATATTTTTTTATGGTTACATCAGTTCAAAATAAAAGGAACCTAAGGAACTCCAATGCCACTACCTAGATAACAAAAAACATTTTTTCATAAATTTTTCATCTGCTTCCACAGTTAAAATTTCATCAATAATCTGGAAATTACAAATTTATACCGCATACATGAAAATCAAATTACCTAAACATCATAAAAATAAGAGCCATGTATTTAAAGTCATCTTACTGAATGTGAACTAAGATATGGTGTCTTACTGAATGTGAAATGAGAAGAGGTATATCTTAAACATACATTATGCAAGAGCTAAATATGTCTATTGCAGGTCTTTCTTTAGGCCTGAAATGTTATCTAAATTAATAATTAGACATTACTTCAACTCTAGATGGTTATGCTAGCCTGCGATCTTTAGTGGATTATGAGCCAATTTACTGCATAACTTTCCTTCACGATTTAACGATTAAATGGATAATCGAGACTATGCTGTTTATCGTACTGACTTTAGTAATGATGATCGAGGCTAGGCGGAAATTTCAACCGCTTAGTTCTCGGTTCATAGTGGATCAATTTGAATGAAATTTTCATCAAATTGCCTTTACATTATCTAGTTTTTAACTATTATAGTGAGAACTGCCAACTCGGTATCGAATCTCCCATAATGTATCTTTAATGAATGTGAATTATATAAGAAGTGGTATCGTATTGAATGTGAACTATATAAATAGTGGTATCTAACTGAATGTTGAATGAGAAGTTGTATCTTATGGAATATTGATCAAGAAGTGGTATCTTACTGTATTTAGAAATGTGAGTGACTGTTAAGCGTCAGTATGCCACACTGGTTTATGTCAATATCCATGATTACTGGAAGTTCATAATAATGTATAGAATAAGTAAAACAGTTTCTTTCAAAAATATATATTGCTTTCGCCTTTTTTACACAAATACACTCTTCACAAAGATGTAAATTCAATGAGGGGAAAAAATCTTTTCACAGTCACAGTTACAACAAGTGCTTCATCTAAAAACTATATTTTCATAATAATACGGTATAAGATTTAAGTAAACAGTCCTATTTTCTCAAAAAGAAATAGCATTCATCTGAATAGAATGTGAAAGTTGATATTATGTGTATTTTATATTTTGGTCCATTTCATAAAATTACTGTGGAAGGTCATGGAAGAAACTACTTATGGTAAGTGCATTTAAGAACATACATGTACATAAATAAACCATACTTCTGGAAAAAATTCCCAAAACCATGTCAACAAAGTGTTATAATGACAGATCCATCTTTATCTCAACAAGATCTTGCTATGCTTTTTGCTTCATAGGTACATTTTTAACAGTTACCATGCTAGGTACCTAGTTATGTTTGAAAGTTTCAATTTATGCTGAGTAATGGTTAACCCAAAAAG